CTCAGAGGATTTCCAGAATTACCTATACTTAAGGATTCTCTCTGAATTGCTACAGATTTCATGATCATATAGAATGATATTCTTTTTAATTAAACCAGCTCATAAATACAGTCTTCGCTGGTATGTGAATTTCCTTGGGAATAAGTTACATTAGTCGAAGTCTTTGCAGTTGTCATGTATAGAATTCCTTTGCATAGCTATCATCCGAGAAATAAATATGATAAAAAAATCAACACCGGAAAACTTTGAAAGTTTGTTTTGGAGTAATTGTTAATTGTGACAGGATTTTAAAATGTCCTTCTGAATGTACATCATATTGGAAAGGTGACAAAGTTCCTCTCTCCCTTTCAGCAATAACAGCACTCTAGACTACAAGCAGGCAGATGGTATTATAAATACAGAGGTACTGTTTGTCCCACTATTTGTGGGAATGGGACATTCTCAAAGCGTTTCTGAGAATGTTAGTTGGTTTAAATTGTCTTTGGCCACAAATGAATAGTGTTTTTTGTCTAACACGCTGCCAGTTGTCTTTACTGTTCTTTTCTCAGTGAAAAGAAAGTGAGATGCTATAGATGTTTGTATCGCTAAATCTGAACTGTTACTCATTTACCAAAGTAAAACCTGCTTGAGCTCTTGAATACAATCAATTAACTCTGAACTCACAACAGAAGATAACTTGGGCAAGGACTAATGCCCTGTTTATATGTATTGACAAATGTGTACACATCTCTTTAAATAATAATAAAAAACACAGAGTAGCTTGCAAAAAATAAGCAATACAAAATAATACAGTATCATAAGCACAAGATAAATTTTATGAAATCAATCATATTTCAGGGTTAAATCTATTTTTAAAGACTTGGAAAAACGACAAGAGAAAAAACAGCCATGTGTAGTCTCCAGGAGAGCATTCTGCCAGCAGGGGACTGAACAGGCTTTCCTCTCATCCAGTTGTATTATCTCCGACTTTCACTGGTCAAGGAGGGCAGGTTTAAACCTCCTTATTCCTGCATGCTGAGATGTGGCAGGGAGGGAAAAGTGTGTGTGCGCATGGGTGTATAGCCCTGAACCATGACTTGGTACAATTAAAAAAAACACTTTAAAAATGGAAAAAGTATAGGATTTAGGCACTGACTTGTTTCTGTTTACAGAGGAAGCCAGTGTTCAGTGGAGGCACTTGGGTGGAGGAAGTGGCTGAAGCATTTCCTTCTTCCCCCTTTTCCCCACCACTACCTCCATTCTGGAGAGCCTTTAGGAACACTTTTCAAGTCATGCAAGAGGGGCAGCTGGAAGGAAAATCAGCATCATTCTCCACCCTCCAGCTTAAGTGGAAATTGACTAAGTACAGCTCTGGTTCGCACATGCAGTGATTTTGACTGGGCTTGTAAAGATGAAACAACTGTATTCTACATATTTGCTACAGCTTGGCATGCTCAAAACTCAAATGGTCATGTTGTCTTCGTTGTTCTTAGCTTGTAGCTTATGGTCAGTCAAATAGGATTACTTTCCATTATTTAATTCTGTACTGATTTATAGATTGTGATCTGGACTGTTAATTAGTTGTTTTTCAGATAAAAGAACTGAATGTCTTTGAGGAGAAACTGCATTTTGCATGTAAAACTATGTATCATTTTTGGGTCAAATTCTGTTCATTGCCTTCTGTTTGAATCTGGCATGGGAAATACATAAATCAAGTACTTCGTACACTTGTGGTTCAGATATGCATTCCTGTTTTTCTTGCAGTAGTCACCCAGTTTTCATACTTATCTTTATTGAGACCTACCTGTAGTTACCATAATTAGAGATGAATCTGAAAGGAAAGGTTTGACTTCTTGGGAAAGGATGGGCATTGATTCTGTGCTTTCTGCCCTTGCAAATGCTGTGTGCTGTAACTTAAGCAGTTTTTTATTCTGTCCGTCCGTCCGTCCCCCCCCCCTTTCTTTCTAACTTTTCATTTATCAGCTTAACCATTTCATCCAAGCCAACTGTCAGTAAAAAGCATCTGAATAGTGCACTTGGTGTTGCTTGAAATCTTCTGTATTGACGCAGAAGATCTTCAAATGTATTTACATTCTTTGTGTTTAGCTCACAGTTTATTCTGTCTTCTATTTTGTTTTACTAATCATTGACTGTTCTAATAATACCACACTGCTTCGGGTATGCACACACACACTGCTGAGAAGCATCACGATAGCACTCCAGACTTGTGACCCCCTGCTATATCTTTATTATGGAAATGATTAGCTAGCTAGGGAGCACAATTAAACATACATTGTTGTGTGCATGCACTCATGCATACACATCCATCCTGGAATCCATGAGTCTAAATTAGGATACCAATTTAGAAAAAGATGGAGTGAAGTAAAGGCAGTTAAAGGGTGAATGGTTTCAGAAAGCGAAGTATGAGCTAAGCAAATTATGTAACAAGCTTTCATGAGATGATGTGGAAGTTTAATTTTTAAGAGAGTTAAAGGTTAAATTTGCCTAATGAATACAGTAATGGGGCAGTACTTGTAGACGGTTCTATAAATAAATAAATAAATAATAAAAACGTGTGTGTACTGCGTAAAGATGTACACCTGCTGCATTGTGGCATCCTACCTTGCTGAGAAAAGGCACTGGGAATTTCTAGTGCAGCATCTTATTAGTCAAATCTCCTGGGACTGGTCATCTAAGATACTTCTAAATGAGTTAGCCTCTTGGTTTGTAATGACCTGGTTAAATGTAGCTATTGGCTGGGAGTTACCACAGTTTTTCCAGAGAGATCCATATTCGTGTGTCATCCTTGGGGCAAGCAGTAACCTAACAAATTAAAGAAAACATGATCTTTGGTTAAATTTCATGCTACCAAGTCAGACCTTGGGGAATTTAGATGTGGGAAGCAAATTGCCTTCTTTGTGTCCCAGGTGGTTTGTGATCCAGAGGAAGCAATAGGAAATGCATGCTTTTATTTTACTCTCTAAAGTCAGAAATTAAATATGGGGCAAATTCCTTGCTGTTCCTGAGTACAGGTGTTAATGTTCAAATTATGTAAAGTATATATATTGACAAATAAATCCAAAATTACACTGCAAGTACAAAGTTGTTGAAAACCTAGATCTTTGATCTCAAGTACAGCAACCACTAATGCTTGCACATCCTACAAATATTATCAACTGGTTTTGCAAAGTTTGTGTCTGTCTTCGCTGTGCTTGGATCAAGCCAATGATTCTTAAGATAGAAACAATGGGCAGAGTGGTGAACTTGTGGTAGCATCTCAGTCCTGCCCTGTATTTAAAGAGCTGGGTGGAGATCATAGAGCACTGTGGGTAGAGATGAGATTGGAACATAGTGCCAGGTTTATTTATGAGCACTCCTATTCTAAAGCAATTAGCTTTGGAAACTGAGCAATGCAAAGTAAGTTAAGCCTTAAAACAATAAATGTAAACATATTTGTGCTTTAATAATTGACATTTGACTATGGGTTTTCTTTCTTTCTTTCTTTCTTTCTTTCTTTCTTTCTTTCTTTCTTTCTTTCTTTCTTTTTTTTTTTTTTTTTTGGAAAAGTTACATTTTAACATTTATTTTGAGTCTGAAGTTTCATTTATTAACCTGCCCTCCCATGTTAAGTTTGGAGATACTTTGAGATAGATTTCACCCTTGGGGCTGTTGAATCAGGTTGGGCTGGAAGAACTGTATACACTTCACCTTTCTCTGTATGTACACACTCAGTATCTCTGCCTCATCCACCCTTCCTGCTTTGGGCACTTAAGAAATGGTGACAGTTGGAGTTTCATGACCTTATAGCTAAGAAGGCTTTGAAAAACCTGTTGATAGAGTGTATGTGTCTGTATATATCTGAATGTTACAAGCCTCCTTAGGAGTTGCCTGCAGAAGGGTCTGTTGACCATGGGACATTCCAAAATAAACATTTCATTCCTTCTATTAAAATACTGTTAGATATTTTAAAGTAAAATCTTGGTTTACATCTCTTTGCACAGTCTTACAGATTACATACTGTTGTGTGTGTGCTTTTTTCTTATACCAATTTAGTGAACTTTGTTAGCAGTTTTATATTAGGGTAAACAATAGAGAGTTTTGGTGCACCTTAAAGGCCAGCAGAGTTGTTCTGGCATAGATGCTGTTCACTTCATGTCCATGAAAACCTATGCCAGAATACATTTATTAGTCTTTAAGGTGTTGGAAGACACTTGGTTGTTTTTGCTGCAACAGATTTAACACAACTAGTCCCCTAGAAACCAGCTGAAGGAGTATGCCTTCTGAGCATCATTTTCTTATCACCAGAGCCATACTGCTATTTATGAGTATTTGAAGCTGGACTCATCACTAATGCTGATGGTCATATTAAACCATGCTTTCCCAAAAGGTTGACACCATGGAGGGAAAATTCATACCCTGTTTTATTCTGGAAAAACAGTATTTTTATGATTTGCTATTTTTAAAAGAACATATGATAAGTCCACTGGGTACATCTTTGATACCAGCCACTTATATATACCAGACTTGTCCTTCCAATGTATAATGAAAACAAAGTCAATCTTCATTTCTTTTTCCTTAAAAATGGTAAAATATTACCATTTAATTACATCCTTGATTTTCTAATACCCTTTGAAATCTGTTTCAGAAACTCTTTTTCTATATTAGACATCCTGATACAGAGAAATTTGCAAAGTTGTCTGCTTTGTAAGTGGATGTGTTTTGAGAGTAAGAGGTCTGCAACAAGAAAAGTGTATGCATTGCCACTGTTATAACTTTGTAACTCCTCTAAGAGTACTATTATGTTATGGGTTACAGGTAGACAAGCCTCTTAAAGTATGCTGCAGTGTGGAATGTTGAATAATCACTTGAATTTCACTCCTGCTTTCTCTCAGGTACTTGGCTTACCAAAAAAAAAAAAAAAAAAAAAAAAATAGCTGTCAAGAGCTATGCCATGGAACTGTTGTAGGAAAGCAAGTTAATTTTCTTTCAATACTTCTTTGTAAAGCTGTTGTCTCTTTCAGGCCCAAATTGCCTTCCTTCAAGGGGAAAGAAAAGGTCAAGAGAACTTGAAAAAAGATCTAGTGCGAAGAATAAAGATGCTGGAATATGCTCTGAAACAAGAAAGGTATTATGCTTCATGATTGTTATCTATATCTTGAATTGTCAACTATGAGTACAGGAACTGCTTATCTTGAAGAGACAACACTAACCCTCTGATTCCTATTTTCTCTCCCCTCCATAATAAGATATTAAATGCCCTTTAACTGGCTATTTGGGTATTTCAAAAAAGGCACGGCCATATTTGATGTACGGGTAATGGGGAACCATCCATTTTGGGTTCCTGATCAGAGGTTGTAGACATCACTTCATCCCTGAAGATGGGAATGAGGGCTCCTATTCCCCCTTCATTCTTGCTCACAGTTGGCCCAGGTTATGCAGGATCCTTACCTTATCATACTTTTTTATAATTGTCCCAGATTTTAATGTCACCACTGGAAGAAGTAGTTTCCCAGAACAATGCTACATAACTTTAATGGTTACTTTCCACATTACATTTCATAGATCCTGACATCCAGTTTGCTCCTTCAGGCCTCTTCTGGATGAAATACTTTTTTTAAAGATTAGAATTTAATTATTGTGCAGGTCTTTTCTCAACTGAATGCAGTTCAGCTATGTCAGCAATGAACAACTCAGAATACATTACACAGATATTCCAACAATTTATTCCAGTATGGACTTCTGTCAAAATCATTATCAGCAATTGCAATGGTCAGCTGCTGGTGGATTTTTAAAAATGGTTAGAGTTAGTAATTAGCTATTCATTTGCTAGTTTCCCCATCTTTCCTTAGACTTTTAAAAAGTTTATTGCAGATTTTAATACATGAAGGGTGAAATCCTGTGGGGATGCCTGTAATCTTCTGAACTCAAAGGATTACAGGCATCCAATGGCAGAAGCAGCACAGAGGCAAAGATCATTTCTGCGCTGCTCTTGCTTTGCAAAGCATTTGGATGGACCACTCTGGCGAAGTGCAGCATTTTTGAGGAAATCAGTAGGAGGCAGAAGTCTCCCACATTCCTCCCCCTGAGGCCACTTTCTTGACCTTGGAGTGTAGTTGCTACAGTTATATTCTTGTTGTCAAGGTAGGGGACGCAGCTCCAATTCCTAGAATGGAGTGTTGTCTGACCTCAGGTCTGTGAATCTGAAAGATCTTGTGTCTCTCAGATGCTGTCTAGGGGGTGTAGGATTGCTCCTTTAGGCACAAAGGATGATCAATAATTCCTACAGCCTACACTTGAGATTTCAGTGAAATGTGCATTTGTCACGTGTGCAGTTTTCCTGCATGTAAACAATATCCATCTAAGAAATTTTGTATGAGACAACCCTTAGAAATATTCGAGTTGGAGAGAAAAGTAGTGGTGCAGAATGATACAAAATTATATAAGAATAGTTGAGCCAGTCAATATTTATTGTTCATAACCGTAGTAATTTTATAATTCCAAATATACAAAAATAAAATGCAGAATGCTAACAATTTAAAATACAATACAAATACAGAAAAAAATTAAATCAATACAAAGTTATGATAAAATTATGGATCCTTTTAGAAAAGCAGAAAAAATATACAATAATTAAAATGACACAGTTAAAATCACATTTCAACCTCCATGAGAACAATAAAGGACCAGTCCTCTATAAAGTGGTATAAAGCTACAAGATTCTGCCTAACAGAATTTTCTAGCAGCCAGGACAAATTTTGCAAGTTGTATCATAATTTATACATTATTGCATGTGAGCAATATACAGATAATTTATAATTTGGACAGATCTGGTCCAAGACAGATCTATTTGATAAATCAAATGTCAGTTTATATAACAGATATTCGTTTGAATAAGACATTTGTGTAATAGCATACAAGTCCTACTGCTAGCAAAAGAGAGAGCTGGTATAGCTGTTAAGAGTGCAGGAATGGGACTCAGAAGATTTGGGTTCTAGTCCCCACTCAGCCATGGAGCTAACTGGGTGACTATGGGCCAGTCACAGACTCTTAGCCCAACCTATCTCACAGGGTTGTTGTGAGGATGGGATTGAAAGTAGGAGAGTTATGTACGCCACCTTGAGTTCCTTAGAAGGGGAAAAAAAGGTGTGGGGGGTGTAAAATAATAAATGAAAATGGATCTTTTATTTAGTCTACCATTTAACTGCGTTGGAACCCATGGAAAGTAGAACTTCTGTAATCCCATAAGTATGTACTGAATAACTTATAGAAATTACCCAAAAATGTCGAGCTGAGGTTTGCTGTTCTAAGAAGCATTTTTTTTGACAAGTGCAAATCATTCATAAAAGGCAGCTTCAGCTAATGCAGGGCAAGAGCTTGTACTTCTATGGAGAGCCTCTACACATAGAAGGGATAGGTTTACCTCTCTCATAAAAGAGTCCTGCACTACCTCTAAGGTAGAAACATTTGTATATCTCCATATCTGCATGATACAGGAATTGAGGAAATACTTTCTTTAAATATACCTCAGCTGTTAGTGCAACCAAGCTTTGCCCTTGGTATTAAAAAACAAAACACAACACATTACCATGTATCAGATGGAAGGATTTCAGATTGACTGCCTTCAAATGTGGAATTCAAGAAATCTGGGCAGTAAACCTGGGTTCCAAGTATCTGAAGTTAAGCTGCCATTCAATGGGTTTGTTACCTCATTGAATGTTATCCCAGTATCCAACTTTGAGACATGGTTTTTCTTTTTTTTCTCAGAAACTACTATTTTTATTTTTGCATGGTTTATTTGGTGCTGTTTTATGCAGAACTCACTCAATTAAGTCAGTAACCTCTTCCTTATCAGTAACAATAACAACAACAACAACATCATCAGTATATAACAGAACTGATAACTTGACATCCTGAATTGAAAGTGGGCAAAATTCAAACCACTCAGCTCTTGTATTAATATAGAAATTAAAAGGAAAGAGAACCAACTCTCTCTCTCTCTCTCTCTCTCTCTCTCTCTCTCTCTCTCTCTCTCTCTCTCTCTGTGTGTGTGTGTGTGTGTGTGTGTGTGTGTGTGTGTGTGTGTGTGTTTAAAAACCCTTGACATTTTTCTTCTGTACTTTTATATGCAATGCAATAATTGGATCCCTGCACTCTGAGTACTCAGAATGGCTTAGTTTATTTTAGTTTATTATTTATAGCCCCAATTAAATTAGTGACCTCAAAACTGAAGTTGGCATCACCTTTGTGATAGATATACAACCTGGAATATGTTCCCAGGCAGGAATTTTCACTTGTGCAAGAATGCTTCCAAATTTCCCATTCATATTAATGGTATTTATGGTCGTTGCTTTTACTGAATACCTTGAAAATACATGAAAGGCACAATCAGCAGCAGAAGAGGGTATTGTGTGTTGGCCGTCCACATATAGGCTGGGTTCCAAAGAGCTATTTTGGGTGAGCCTAAGAAGTTGAGATAAGGAACAGGATTTTGGACTTGAAACAACAGATCTTGAAGCTCTTGCAAACTGCTTCTGTAATTTTGCTCAGTTTCAAGTTCCATTGAGAGGAGCTGCTTAAAGAAATGTTTGATATCTGTGGGAGCACAGTTACTAGTTCTATTGCTTTTTTGGATTCTGGCCTTATATTGTGGATATTGTTATGAATACAGTTGAGCTATGTAATAAAACTGAGTTGGGTTGGATCCAGAGTTCCTGTGAGTGGGTGATAACTGCTTGGAAGGGTTGGAGGGGGGCATATTGGCTGATCTTTCCTCTGAAACTCATGCTTCCTGAAGAAATGTTCTGGAGAATTACAAGATCCTCAGGGAAGTGTAAGAGGTACCATGGGGCCTGAAAGGAGAATCAACAAAAATAGTCCTATCCTTTTTCTTTTGGTTAGCAGAGGCATCTCTGCTGGATCTCAGTTCCTTTCATGAACAGAAGTAGCTCTTTTCATAGAAAAACATTTGCTTCCCTTTGTATTTGGAAAATTAGTACCATTTTAAAAAGGAAAAGATTCAAGCCATAAATAATTTGATTTGTTGCAATTTTGGTATAGATGATGGAATAGGGCTTCCATAATATAATAAATTCTAAATAACTTTTGCTTATTCTTTTTTGCACCCACTAGGTTAAAGTTTCATCTTGTATATTTTCAGCACCATATTTTGACAAATGTTTCTCTAGATGCAGTTCACAAGATCAGAATAAGAACCAGTGGCTTATTTAAATTGCAGTCTGTGCCAGGCATGATTTCCACAATCACTGTCTAGGTGCACATGTTATCCATGCCTGGGTGGCATGGCTTGTTGGAAGAGAAAACAATTGTCTATTAATCCTGTGACTATTCACGGGTAATTGGAGGTTTGTTGCCCCTTCCCACAGCCAAGCTCCCCAAGTCTGGATGATGCAGCATGCTACTCCTGGCCAGGGATTATGGAAATTGTGCCTGGGACATGATGTAGGTTAAATAAGCCACTGTGGCTTATTTTGATCATACAGAACTGCTCAGTGTATCATGTTATCATTTAATAAATACTTTTGTATTTCAAACATTCTTCCAATGTCTATCTTACCTACAGGTTCAACCTTTTAAAATAATTTATTTTTATGTAAGTCACTGGAGTTACATTTCTGGTCAGTGTGAGACTAGAGCCTTATCCTTAACAGAGATCCTGCCTCAGTGCTTTTCCTGGCAGTGCTGCTTGTTTATGTCTCTTGGTCTGGCAGTAACTCCTGGTTTTTCTGTGAATGTTTGGCAAACCTGCTTAGCACAGCTGGTTTAGATTTTTCAGGTCTTAAGATTGCAGGTTTGGCAGCCAAACTGGCCCTTTTGTAGGAGCAGGCCTTGTGAGATTAATTGGTCAATTGTTGGTAATTCATGTATATCAAACATACCTAATGCCAAATTCAGATAAAACAGATTATAGTATTTCTGAAGGTTTAAAAAATCAAATTTAGGGAGGGATTTACCAGGAAATATGCTTTATTTGCTTTAGCTACATTAAAGAGTGGGAACAAAATAGATTTTAGCCTGCTTCAAAAAGTGGGTGGGTAGCATTTTCACACACTAATTGATTTCCTCTTTCTTTGTTTCTTTCTTTTCTTTCTTTCAGAGCAAAATATCACAAGTTAAAATATGGCACAGAGCTAAATCAGGGAGACATGAAACCCCCGAACTATGATTCTGGTAAGAATTGAACTGTGTGGTGGGAAGCAATTAAGACTGGGCTGATAATTCTGACAGCTTGGGAAACTGGCTTCCCAGTTTGATATGTATATAACTGTACCCGGGCTTAGACAGTACAAGTGAATAATGGGATTGTTAGTATAACTGCTTTGCCACATGCAACTCTTTTTCCTGTTCAGTTTACCTAGAAGTTCAGGGCAGTTTGATTCCCAAAGGAGGAGAGCAAGGATGTCCACTTGATCTTGTGACCCATCTAAATCTTAGTAACGTTGTCCAAACTGATTGGGAGTTTTAGTTAACACACACTTAGTAAGTCATTTCTTTGTTGAATGGATAGGTAGACTGCTTCTTCAAGTTCACTATAGATACCCAGAAAAAGCATAGATTTGCTATATCTGGTATAAAATCTGAAGTTTATATGGGTCTACTGGGGAAATTATATTCTCCATATATTTATTATTACAGTTTTTATTGAGAAATTTCCAATAAAATATAAAAGAGGTAGGGAACTGGAAATCTTTTATTCATTGTAACTGTTAGAAAATGACTCTACCTTGTTTAAAGGTGGATGGATGGTTTGTTTGTTTGTTTGTTTTCGGACCAGCATGCATCACTGTTGGTTGGTCTCCCTCCTCTTCCCCTTTGGTCCTCCAGCTGGTTGGTAGTCTAGTGTCTTTCATGACAGAACCAGAATTCTTGTCTCTCTATCCCCATAATGTTCACTACCTTTCTGTTTGTTTGCTTGATTTAGAGCCTCAAAAATGGGCAATTGAGACTGTAGGGTTTTTTTTTTAATGGCTCGAGAAAGTAATAGATGTTGTTGTGCCTGGTCCATGTATGTTTCATCTGTCAAAGAGAGGGAACGGTGGTTGATAAGATAGATGAAAATTAGCAAGGAAAGAGTGCATGTAGGCTAATTTGTCCACAGCTGCTGAGTTTATTGGTTTAAAATTATCAGTAAAGGAAAAACATAGGTGGCAACAAGATTAGTGTCATATCAGTGTGATCCTCTGGATTTCAAGTGTTGAGATTAGAGGTTTCAGTGCCCTCCACATTTTTGACTCTTCCCCAAAATACTCCAAAAAGGGAGTATTAAACTTCCTCTCCACTTTTCAGAGCGGTTTAAAAAATAGTGGATGGTAAATAAATTTATACCTTTTTCATGGATGGGAGGCTTCCTCTGCATTTATCTTCCACCCTTGAAATCATCTTATATTCCACACTGTGCAAATTAACAATTAAATTTAAATTTGCACATTTTATTTTTAAAATTTTTACTATTACTGATAATAAATGCTCATTTCATGGCTGGGAGATAAATGGAGAGGCAACTTGTATTATATTTCCCCTCAATTTATAAGCCATGTGTATATTTCTCAGGGTTTTAAAAATGCAAATTTAAGCAAAAACTTAGAGGTGGAAGAACTAGTTTGGAGCAGTGGGGCACCTTGCTCCCTTTGACACCTGAAACTTACAGCAGTTGAGAATTTTCAAGTTCACTTAGAAAACAGAGTCTTGTTTTTTAATAGATATGCTTAACATGCAGAATACACATCATCCTCATTTTTATCATTACATACATTTTAGTGCTTACTAATTTGTGGCTCTTTGACCATTAATGTACCAGAGTAGCCAAACTTGTGGTTCTTTGGCAGTTCTGTTGTGCCACCAAAGGTGCCAATCCTTTTTGAATCTTGGCATCCTCCCCAGTGGACTGAGCAGTCCCTGCCCACTGCAGCTTTTTTGGTTGCAGGCACTTCTTTGGACAAAGGGAAAGCATCCCGCATGCAGAAGAGGAAGGAGACCACTGAGGAAACATGGAGGGTAGCAGATGGAAGCAGTTGCCTGGAATGTGTAAGCAACATGAGAAGGGAGAGTCACTGTGCACGTTCAGATGGCACTTTTAGCCCTCGGAATTTTACTCATGCACTGTGATTAAATTATCCTGTGCCCAGCAGACAATCAGGCCCAGCAGGGGGTTGCTTGCCTCCTCCTCCTCCTCCTCCTCCTCTCCTCTGTCCCTCCCACTCCTTCAATATTTCATTATTTCAGTGTGCGTGTATCAAGATGTCACCAGAGCTTCAGTAAACCATTGAGTGCTGGCTGTGGTTTGACTTGAAAGCTACCATTAAAGTCTGCTTTTCCAGTCCTGGAGGTGCCCTCCAAGCACACCCAGTGGTACTTCAGGGTCTGCCATGATTTTTTTTAAATTGAAGTATCCCTCCCACTACCTTTGCTTGAGAGCCAGCCTGTCAAAGTATGATAAAAGCAGCTCCTTGTAAAGACTGCACTTTGCAGAAACGGGCTGTTTCTCCATTTTTGCAGTGCAGTCCCCCAGGTTTTTTGGGGAGTTCTGATGCCCTGAGTGTTGACAGTCCCCAGTCTCAAAACCTGGTAAAAAGTATGTGCAGGGAGGCCGGCAGGATGGTAAAAGTGGGAGGAGATATTTTCCATTCCCCCCCCCAATGGACCAACAGCACAGCTGTACTATATCTGTTACCATATCTCTTCTTCCATCCCATTTGGCTTCTGTATGGAAGCAGACTATAGCTTCTAGATTCTTCAGGCAGAAGAATGCCATTCTTTGGCATTCTCACGTTATTACCTTTTTAAATCTTTACATGTTTAACAAGCACCCTGCTGCTTTTAATAAACCCATAGCCTATCCTGTTAGGACAAACCCTTGTGCTAGAAGGAAACATAGCAGCTGTGCATCTTTCTTTTCTCAGGCTGAATAGCATCCACATTCAGGCCGAATAGCATCCACATTCAGGCTGAATAGCATCCACATTCGAAAAGTAAATCATATAAAAACAAAGGTAGCAGCAGTGTGGACCATAAGAAAACTTCCAAAATCCATATTGTCCAGTAGCTTTCTTAGGCCAATTCAGATCACATAAAAGGTACGGACTTTTGAGACTGCCAGATCTTTTCATCAGACAAGATGCTACAAAAAGCAGGTTGGCAGAGGTAGGTGGACAAAGGCTGACTAGAAATTTTAGTCAGGATGTCTGCATAGTCTGCCGATGTAGTCTGTGAGAAAAGAGGGTTTACAGACATTCAAAGTGGGTTCTTTCAGGTGATCTGGTGGTTTCTGTGCCACTAGGAGCATTACTCTTAATGAAAAGGGATAATTTAACTTGGAGTCCTGCATTGAGCAGGGGGCTGGACCTAATGGCCCTCTTGTCCCTTTTAACCTTGCTATTCTGTGATTCTATAAAAAAGCAATTTTTGATCCTCTGTTTGGAGCTGTTACCTTCAAGCTTTCTCAATTTTACAACTTCCTCCACTGTAGTACAAATCAGGCTTTCTTTCTTTGGGTGCTTCCAAACAGAGGCCTCTCAACATAACCAATTAGAAGTCATTGTACATATTCCTTCTTTTTTTTCCATAATCATGTTTCTGTGGAAAGAAAAAGACAAAGGTAGAGGAAAAACATAGGAGGGTTATTAGAGGAAGATTACATCATCTTCACTTCCATAAAATTCTGTGAATGAGATGGGGTAAATGGATGCCAAAAGCCTCTTTTGCAAGCATCCTTTATGTGCTCACATACTTCTTAATGTACATTTTTGAACCTGCAGAACATACAGTGATTGAAGCATGTATTAGAATATATGTATATTGCACAAACTTATAGAAATTAAACATACATTATGTAGATATAAACAAACATATAATAACTGAGTTTTCTTTCTCAAACCTAGTACAATACACAACTTTCTGAGAAAAAGAACTCAAACTGTGTTCATTTCCAATTATCTTTATTTTATTTACATTTTCAGTACAATGTTTTACTGAGAGCCAATGTGGCGGAGTCTTGAACTGGGGATCTGGGTTCTAGTCATTGCTAAGCCATGGAGTTCACTGGGTGACTTTGGGCCACTCACAGACTCTCAGCCCAGGCTGCCTCACAGGGCTGTTGGTGTGAGGATAAAATGGAGAGAAGGAGAATCTTGTAAGCTGCCTTATGTTGCATGCAGGAAGAAGAAAGGAGGGGTATAAACAGTGTTGTAGTAGTACTAATATTACAATTTTTTAAACCTGTGTTTCACTGTGATTTGACCTATTTTGTTTACTTAGTCACTGCTAAAAGATAAAACTGAAAAACTCCTCAGTCTGGTTCATTTATTATACCGGATTTTGTCTTGTTTTCATTTTTTAGATGAAGGGAATGAAACTGAAGTTCAGCCACAGTCAAATAGTCAACTAATATGGAAACAAGGACGACAGTTGCTCAGACAGTAAGTTGCCTTTTTACATTTTCTTTTATTGCCCAAAATATGAAAGGTAAGAGAGAGTTTTTTAAAGAAATGGCTGTCAAAATATTCAACCCTTCCTGATGCTGAAAGATTAAACTACTTCTGAACAACTTTTGTAAAAACTGTATTGTAGATGCTGCATGAGTAAAACTACTTCTGAACAACTTTTGTGAAAACTGTATTGTAGATGTGGCAATTTTTGTCATAATATGTTTTTAAATTCTTAAATAATGGTGTATGACCTATGGGCTTTTAAACCAAAAATAAACGAACAAATAAACAAGTTACCTAATAGTTGTATTCTTATCCTAGTATGCTTGTTTTCATTGTCCTGCTAAACTCTTTTGTGGCTGATTATTCACTAGTACTATAACACTTAATACTGCAAGAGCAGTGTTCCTATATTTTTGCTAGATATGAGCAGTTTCAGTGCTTGTGGTACTAGGCAAAGGAGAATCAGAATGTGCTCCACCCAGACTAATGAGCTTGCTGGAGCCAACAGGCAGGAAGAATTCATTTGGGTGAAAATATTTATTCTTGGTGATTATCACATTAATATTTAAATATTTTGCTGAAAAATTAAAAGTAGGAAGGAAGGTTCAACTATATTTAGTGGACAGGAGATTTTAAATCAAGCTTGGTTTGTCAAATCGTCCAGTGGAAATGAAAATTTAAAGCAGTCGTAACTGAGGGGTGAAATCCAATGTTGGACAAGCAGATGCTTGCTTTATCAACAGGACTAACTGTAAGGGATCATCCCCCAATCCTCTGGAGCAGATGTTGAGGGTGTGTAAATGCTGCAAGGGTGAGACCGAATCGCCTCTTCCCCATTATGCTGGTGGTAGCATTACTGTTGGTGGGAAGTACACCTGTTAGTGGGAAGTGCCTTGCCATAGCTACACTTTCACATATTTCCCCCTGTTTTAATCTGTTTGAGCCAACTTTATTATTAAACAGTATACAGGTGAAAGTCAGTCCAGAGTATTTTTTGAGGCATCCAATGAAGAAGGGGACACATTTTTGCTGATCTCATCCCTTGCAAGTTGCCGCTTTCCATATTGTTCCATAAAACTCCTCTGTCCTCGTCAGAGGAATGATTCACGGGAGCACTTCTTTGGGGGGATGGAGGAAGTGTCAAAACTAACAATTAGTTGCCATTCTGCAAGCAGGTGTGCCCTATGAGGAAAGTTCTGCTCACATGAACACTGCAATTAATTCACTAAATTTATGAAAGAACGTTTTGGCTCATTTTTGCAGGGGGTAATATAGTGAATAATGTGTTTGTGAATACAGGGATCTCTTTGGTTTTCTTGGGGACTATAGAGGCTGGTACTGCAAGAGGCAGCCCCTCCCGCAGCTGATGCAAGATGATTTGTGAGCCTGTTGTGTCTGCACAGAGCCACATTCTTCTTCTTCCCATTTTATGGTTGATCAGTTCTAGGTGGGTAGTAGCAATTGATTGCAATCTCTGTGACAGCTCCTGAGCAACTGACATGTATTCTGTTTGTACAGATACTTGCAAGAGGTGGGATACACTGACACGATACTGGATGTGAAGTCAAAACGGGTACGAACTTTGTTAGGTCTCTCGGGTGATGGTCTTGACAGAGAAAATGATAGAAACCAAGAATTGATGGTGAATGGCACAGACGCTGAGCTTAAAGAAAAAGTGATGATTGGGTAAGTTTTATTTGGTTTATGCTAGTAATACAAGTTATTCATAAAAATAATTAAACTTCCAGTGGTGTGGTACATTCCACCAATATGACATTTAAACAGTGTGGATATTTTCTGAATCTTTTATAAAAATAAGGTCTTCTCTCCCCACTTCTATTACTTCCAAGCTGTGCAACAACTAAATTGACAATTAAATTTCTAGGTTTATGTAGTTTAGTATATTAGAAGGGTTCTTTACTAAAGCACTCTAGTAGGATACAGGTGTGATCAAGCTCAGGTAGGACCTTTATGGCCTTGACTTATCTGTTTCTTGTGCAATTTTTTTAAAAAATGTCATATCTTGATATGCAAGATGGATACTTCTCAGCTTTCGAAATGTCATCACACTAGTGCATTGCCATAGCTGGAAATTGAAGGGGGAAAGTAATATAGTTATTTGTAAAAACAATTCTTAATTCAGGGACTTCACTTTTTAAAATTCTTTGTTTTTCTTCTGGGACAACTTTGCTGATAAACACGTGCTCTTATTTACTGTTATTGGAGTAGTTTCAAATCAGCAAATACAAAAAACTGCTGTACAAGAAAATTTTATTTTAAGACCAAAAGGTGGCCCAAGGCTTCCTTAAAAAAGAATTATTTGTTCTGTCCATAGAGCTATTTACGCAAGTCAATGTATTTGCTAATGTACAGATCCCAGTGAAAACTTTTACAGTCAAGAGCATCATGTGACTCGGGATGCATCCTGGAAGATTTCGAGTACATCAATGGAAACATTATTTTGATAGTTTGACAGATATAATCCTACTCACACATGTTTCATAATATTTAATGAAAGAAATTTTGCACTTCTTCAGATCAGCACACTGCTTTTACAAAAGATAAGTACCACAGCTCAGCATGAATGAACTCAGCAGAGGTTACTAAAAAATTAACCTTTGTATTAACATTGAGCATTTTCAGTGTTTGCTGTGAATGTAAAGGATGCATTTGCCATTAACATCTTTGGCAAAAGCAAAAGAGAAAAATGAGATTGGCTTGTCAGTTTGGGTATAGCATTGTGTGGTATACCAGTGAGTTTTCATCTTAATCCCTGCTTATTTATTTTAATAATGTTACCTTTCCCTTGGCAAGTTGAGTAATATTTTTGGGATTGCATTGTTTGATGTATAAATGTGCAATAATAAAGCTGAACACATTTCAAATTTCTGATTTTCAGATATTGATTTTAATGGAGAAGTATAATTGTAAACAAGTTTGCTTGTCAGGCAATATATTTAAAGTTTTGGTTTTTTAAAGAAAACTTACTTTTCCTTTAAACAATTCTTGAGAGTACAAGTTCTTATTACTGTATAAGCATCCACATTCAGTTTTGTAGTGCCTGAGTTTTGAAGCAGCTTTTTAATTTTTTTAACTGCTGTTAAATAGGTTTTAACCGTCCCATACATTGAATATTGTAAAAAAATCATAACTGATGAAGTCTCCTAGCTAATTGAACAACAAATTGGCATTCATACTAAAAGCTTCAAGTTTCAAATGTATACTAGTAGTTAAATATTAGACTCGTGAAAGAACTTTGCAATAATAATTACAACAATAACATGTTACTTTAAACTCTACTTTTGTTTTTAACCTTCATTTTGCTGTGCCTTACATTCTTTGGGTCAGACTTTAGATATGTCAAGCTTCTATGTCGCTCCCAATTGACCTTTTTCACATCAGTTACTGCTGTTTATGGGCTGCGACAACAAAACACTTGCATGAGCAGAAGATACTCTCACTATGCTAGGGAAGACCTTGGATTTCTGCTGATGACCCTACCCCAGCCCACCCTGTACCTGCAGCGTCATGTGTCATGTGAATGTTACTCTTGCAGGGGCCTCTAATACTCAGGAGCAGATATTGGGGGGCGGGGGCAGGTTGCACAGGCAAAGGAATGTAAAAGAGGAATGTAATCTCTGTTAGCTTTTTTAGAAGACTGTTCTGGTAAATAGTTGTGTTTTGAGAGCTGTAGCCTTGGCTTGTTGTAGAAGATTTAATTATGAGTAGGTAAACATGGAACCCAGGAAGTCGATGGTACATTTAAATGAATCTAAACTGGCATTATGAAAGTATCTAGCGAACTCAACATCTAACTATATCAGTGAAGACGATACTTTCCAGTTTTCAGGATGAAAAGAAAAGGATTTCAGGTACAGAACTGAGAATTTTGATGTGGCTATTTAATAGTACAAGCACTGGTTAATCTGTTGAAAGTCATAAATCTTTGTATTTCATTCAAAAAAATTAAGTGCCGTTAGTGTCTGTCGCATGTGTGTTTTAAAATAATCTTGAAATACTTGAATCAGACTCAAAGAGTGCTTATCAGTGAAATCTTCTCAAACTGGGCAGAGGTATCAAGTTGGGAACTGCAGGGTTCAGTGTTGGGCCCAGTGTTTTTCAATATTTTATTAATGATTTGGATGAAGATATGCAGGGAATGCTTATCATATTCCAGATGACACAAAACTGGGTAGTGTAGCTAATAGCCTGGAAGACAGAAATAAGATCAAGGTGATCTTGGTAGGTTGAAATGCAGTAGGGACAAATGCCAAGTTCTGCACCTGATGCAACCAAGTGCATCATTGCAAGATGGAGAATTCTTGGCTCAGCAGTACTGCAAGTGATAAGGATCTTGGAATTGTAGATCACAAGCTGAATATGAATTAACAGTGTGACATGGCTGCAAAAAAAAAAGTAAATATTATTTTAGGCTACAGTAATAGGAGTATCACTTCCAAATCATATGAAGTACTAGTTCCTCTTTACTTAGCACTGGTTAGGCCTTATCTGGAATACTGCATCCAATTCTGGGCACTACAGTTTAAGAAAGATATAGAAAAGCTGGAAAGGGATCAGAGGAGGGCAACAAGGATGACTCATGGATTGTAAACAAAACCCTGTGAGGAGAGATTGAAAGAAATGGGCATGTTTAACCTTGAGAAGAGAAGATTGAGGGGAGATATGATAGTACTCTACCAGTACTTGAAAATCTGTCAAAGAGTGGAAGAACAGGATCTCTTCTTGATCACCCCACAGTGCAGGACATGGAATAATGGGCTCAAGTTACAGGAAGCCAGTTTCTGGCTAGATACCAAGAAAAAAAATCCTGACTATTGGAGCAATACAACAATGCAACCAATTACCTCAGGAGTTTGTGGGCTCTCCCACACTACAGGCATTCAAGATGCAACTGGACAGCCATCTGAAAGGAATGGTTTAACCTGGAGTCCTGCACTGAGCAGAGGGTTGGATGTGATGGCCTTCTGGCCCCTTCCAACTGTACTATTCTATAATTCTGTAGTTGCCAAAAGGTGATCAATCGAGCTGTCAGTTAAAAGATTGTGAATTGATACAAGGGCTTGGATCCAGAACAGCACTTTGATGAAGGGGGGAAGATCCAGCAGAGGTAGCTGCTAATGAAAGAGAGAGAAGAGGTAATTTTATTCCATCTCGACCATCATCCCAGTAGTCACCTTCCATACCTATGAAGTAGTTTTTTAGGATATACAAGAAAGATCAGAAGAAAGATATTTAACCCTCCTTCTCTGAGATTAAGATTTGGTTTACAGATATTAGGATCCAACTCAAGCTGTAATATCATATCTAGTTGATACCATATATTACTCTATGAATTTTAAAATGCAGAATGTTAACACATATACCTGTTAAGCTGAGCACTATGAAGAGAAGCAAACAGAGACAAAATAATTTGTGTTGCTGTTTTAATTTTTATCTAGGAAACCAGATCTGACAGACTCTGCGTCTCTTCTAGAGTCATTTAAATTCTTGGAAAATGCTGCTGCAGAATTTAGTGATGAAGATGAAGATGATGATATTGATGGAAGAGAGAGAACAATCATGGACACTTCAACGGTGGGCTGAGAATTCTAATGCTAAATAGAAGTGTGCAGTAAAGGAATTGTAGATATCTTGATATGACAAAAACATGTATATCTAAAGATATCTTTATCTTTGAGGAAAGTGGAAGCACTGAATTAATTTGCAGATGAATGTGCTACAAACTGAAAAAGCCTTGATGTATTTAATGCTTATATTTATATCTTACCTTTTTTCCAGCAAAGAACCCAAGACAGCTTACATAGTTCTTCTCTTCATTTTATTCTCACGACAACCCAGTGAGGTAGGCTAGGCTGAAAGTCAGTGACTGGCCCAAAGTCATCCAATGAACTTCATGGGCAAGTGAGAACTCCCAACTCCCAGTCCAGCACTCTAACTCCTATGCCACACTGGCTGTCTAAGCATGTGAATAATTATATTTGACATCCATGTAATTAAATGTAGAAGCTGAAGTATCAAACCCAGAGTCTGAAAGTCAAAATTAGGTGTTCTGAATAAAACATTTCTGGCATTGAAGGGATTAACCACATTTGAGATTAAAAGAGCTAACCCAGTTAGCTTCAAGGCTTGAAATGCTTCTTAGTCCCATTTTCCAGAAATAAGATGAAGCTTCAAGTTCATAAAATAAAATGAAGTCCCAGCTTCAGAAAGGAAAGGGTTAAAATATCAACCCTAACTGTCCTTCCTTCCTGACAGTTAGGACCCCGAAGGTAAGGAATGGGCTTCCACGGGAGGTGGTTGAGGCCCCATCGGTGAGGGTGTTCAAAGATAGTCTGGACATGCACATGGTGGGCATGTCATGAGTGGAGCTAGCTGGAGCTAGGGGTCGGACTAGATGGCCTGGAAGACCCCTTCTGACTCGCTCTATTTCTATGTTTCTAAGGGCTAAAGTGTGAGATTCTAAAGTGGTCCTTATGTTGCTTAAATTCATGTATGTGGTAGCCCAGATAAGATTAGAGTGAAAGCAGCAAGAAAACTAGTGAAGCAGATGGAGAAATATATTTCCTGTACCTTTGGACACTTACTCTGACCAGAGGTGGGGTTTTCTATGTGTGATGAGATACCCATCTTCCAATCAAATTGGGGTGCACAGTGCTTAGATTACCCATTCATCTGTCTACCTTTCAATTATTTCAGCTCTTTTATATCCACAGATTTTGGGAACACGTCCAGCCCTATCATTAAGAGAGTAATTGGAACTTCCTAAAATGACCCTAGGCATGTTATCTTGGTTAATGTGTTTCTCCCTGGTACATCATCTTTGGTCATTTACACTTTTGTTCCTGCTTAGTGTTAGGTTTCCCCAAGCCAATAGGCATTAAAGACATGCTTCAGCATCTTTTATTGGCCTGGTGAATCACACAGTCTGCTTTAGCAGGGTTATTTCCTCTTAGATGACAGCTCAGCATGCATCAGGTCCCCTTTTCCACCACCCAGATCACTACATCTCTGCCAGTGCAGCTCACTGTAACTTTGCTATTGCTCTATGAAAGTCACTTTTAAAGGGCAGCTGTTTTCCCCCTTCAAAAGCAGTCCTGTAAGGTTGTAGCTAAATGTATTGGAATACTATAGCATTGATTAGGACTGTATCTCAATTTCAGGGTCCTCTTACCCATGGATCAGACCATGCAGCCATTCCAGAGCAAATTACCCACATGCAGTTTGGAGTATTAATTTCAGCCATTTGATAGCAAGATTTTTGAACCCTTTCAGTGCCAGATTAACAGGGTGTAGGTGAGAAAAATAGCATTTACATTATTGTTAATGTTCCATTTTTGTTTTTCATAGATTGTGAGGAAGAGGGTAGTGTCTGATAACACTGAGGACAGGGATACTGAAGAAGCTCTGAAAGAATTTGATTTCTTGGCCACATCTGATGAAGGAGATGGTGAATCCAGAAGTTCAGGAGATGGTACAGACTGGGGTAAGAAAGTGAAAAACAAACAGCACAATACTTGTAAAATACTTGTAAAAATGTAGGAACTTGGTTACATGCAACAATTTATGCTGAATATCCATAATAAAATACTGCCATAGTTCTTGAGGAAGATGAGCCTTGCAATGTCCTATTTTCTTATTATTCTATGTAGAGGAAAGATTCTTTTTGTCAGGATTATTTGCTTTTTATAGTTTGCAATAATTGCATGCTGTGATTTTCTAAACTATATTTTGTGGAGGAATTTCCCCCCGTGGGATATAATTAAAGTTCCACACAAAAATTCTCCTAGTACAAAACAGATAACCACATAATATATAGAGACTAGTTGTGAACCAAGAAAAGAGCTCACACAGTACTACAGCACTATAGGTCATTCTACATACCAGTGGTTGGCAAAGAAAGAGATAATTCAGTCAAAATGTTCCTGTTCATTGTACAAGTTAAGTATTGCCCCTGCTCAGTGTTCCATAACATTAAAGCCCTTGGGTAAGATTAGGCCACACAGTCTATTTCAACATCCACTTCTTGACTTTGAGAAGGAATGAGGAAGACAGGTGCATCCTGATCACTGGGGCCTTCTTCATTTGGACTGCACAGGTCTGTCTATCCTGTAGACGAGAAAGAGCAAGGAGGACAGGAGCAGGGCAAGGGAACAACAGCATGCTATCAGATGTCAAGTGTGAAAGAAGATGCAAGTGAAACAGGAGCAGGCTGAGGGAGCATCAAGGCCTGCTTCAGTTGGCCAGAGAAAAGAGGCAGCACAGAGCCATTCCACCAGCACCACATAAAATCTACTAATTTTGTCCTCCCCACTTTGCATCCACTTTTTTTGTGTATAATGGGTTTTTAGTTTTATAAGTAATTTCCAGAGCCTTTTTTGGGCAGAGGAGTGGCATAAAATGGTACAAATATGAATTAGTAGGTGGGGGTGGGGTGGCAGCAGATATGAGTCTGTAACTTGGTGAAGTGGTCAGGCAAGAGTCTGACATGAGGCTGACTCCATGCCTGAGACATTTAGAATATTAACAACCTTCCTGTTGCTAGTGAAGCTTTTCAAAGCAACACAAATTGGATATTTCAATGGCTTTGCATACCCATTTGTTACAACATAGAAAACATTTTGGTAAAACAGCACTGTGATTCTTCAGCTTGCACTTGTTAATGACACCACTTCCTAGCAATCTCACTGTTAAGGGGTTCCCTGGATTTCCTGTCTGATGGCTGCTGTTGGTTATGTGGGCTCTCCCATGATAAGCCCCAAAACAGAAGTACTAATGCAATCCATTGGAAATTATGTCTTTGATTATATTATATTCTCTGATTTATTTAGCTCTGCACAAAGCAGTCAGATTGGATATTTTAAAATATAGGAAGGAAGGGTTGCTTACCTAGTAATCGTAGTTCTTCACATGTTTTTGTGTGAAGTCACACATGCAGTTTTATAACTGTTCAGAGCTCTTTTAGAACTTGCTAAAGCTAAGCAGAGCTTTTGCTGGTGGGTGTCCCATGCCTCCTCTAAACAGTGCCATGGGTTTAGTTTTCTGACTGGGTCAAGGACTAGGCTAGGCTCTAGGCTTGCAGTGGCTGCATACATAGGCAGGCAGCCGGTGTTACAGCTATAGTTGCAGCCAACAGGCCAAGGAAGCTTTTGATGGCTTCTGCTTGGCATGTGGAATAAGAGCTGATATTTCATGTCAGCTGTCTCAGTGTATCAGCTCTGTTGGAAGATAAGTAGACTGAGCCTGTGGAGTCCAGAGGAAACCCTGTCAATGGACAGATTTGAGATGGATGAGATCCTGGTTGATGTGGGGATGTACAGAGCTGAAAAGATCTAAAGCATTGGTCTGGGAAAGCCGGAATGTGAGGTTGATGGCACACAAGTCTTCCGTGTATGAGATAACAACTATTCCTTGCATTTAGAGGTGCACTACCACCATGGGCATGCATTTTGTGAAGACTGCTGGCACAATGGCAAGACTAAATAAGAAGACTTTGTACTGATGTGGCTGAGGCTAAAGCCAAGGAAACAATGTGATACAAGGTGTTTAATGCTATATAAACAGGCATCATGGAGATCCACTGTGGCAAAGCAGTCCTTACGGTGAAGTTAAGGAAGTGTGAGGAGTAAGAATTTCTTGGGTCTAATATAGTGGTTTATTTTTGTTTATTTAAAATAATACATATTTCTTGTCCACCTTTCAGGGCTGAAGCCTTCCATAGTTGACTTCTTGTATGGGGTGCAGACCGGTCTTTTTGAGTCTGCAAATACAGTGAAACATTGGGAAAATAAACTAGTAAACTTTTGTCAAAGGGCACAAGTTTACCGTGACTCCCTTATGCAAGAGTGCAGTCCTACACTGGTGCAGAAGATTCCCATGGGTGGTGTTTCTTTGACCTCAGTGATTTAACCATCCCAGTTCATCTAAAGCAACCATGCATCTGTGGTGTTAATTTGGCATGTCAACAAGAATAGTCTGATGGTTGGGAAAAAAGGTGGTTGGTTAGCAGGACTTATCTGAGCAAGTCAAACATTTTCATTGGTTGGAGTGCTTTCCCCTTGAAAATTGGTGCTGTCTATTTGTGGAAGGCTCTGGAATAGGTTGTAATGTAGGATTGGTGGTCTGATTCCCCTTTATAACAATTATATATAACAATTATATAACATAAATATGTTTCGATAAGTTTCAAGAAAGGCAGACAAGTTTCCGTACATTTGTGCATTCAGGTGCACTGTCTGTACGCCATCTGCTCATCGATAAGTTTTTAATCCATTGTATTATAGGTGGTGAGTTTTTATCATTACAATCTTGTACTATCAATGTTTTAGCAGTCAAAAAGAGCTAAAACTGAGAGCCAGGTGACCTGGGTTCTAGACCCTGCTCATCCATGAAGCCAACTGGATGACTCTCTGCCCAACCTACCTTACAGGGTCATTGTTGTGGGGATAAGATTGAGAGCAAGAGGAGGAAAATGCTGTAAGCCACTTTGCTTTCAGAGGGGGAAAGTGGGATATAAATATAATAAATAAATGAATGAATAATAATAAAAAAGCTGCAGAAACTCCATTTGCATTGACCAAGCTTAACTTCTAAGAAACAGGTAAATAATTTAAAGGAACATGTTCATTAGAAAATACTAGTGTGTTCCAATATCAAGTTTATCTGTAATAACTTCTCTCCAGAAGAAGACAGCTATTGGACATTGCCAAAGCATATGATTAACAGAAACATTAACTGTATTGCATCTCCAGTAGTTAATCAGCTCAGACAAACTGCTATTAATGAGAGGTTTTGATATCCAATAAATGTAAATCCCTTGTTTTGTTGAATAAGATGCCACAGAAACTTGAGATACAGATGCTGAAGTGGTAGTCCAGTACTTAGACTCAATAGGACGTTTCAATTTTGCCATTAAACCTGATATATCATATTTACAGATCATTGATATTTCTAAACATGGATTGTGAGTTGTTGTACATGTTTTATTTATGTATTTGCAGTATTTCTATACTGTTCCACATCCAAAGAAATTCTGGAGTGGTGAACAATATAAGGTTAAAACAAATACTAGAAAAAAGCTATACATTAAAAAGGAACAAAATAGCATTGAAACAGTAGCTGGTTAGCAAGACAAGTCTTTTTAGAACAAGATTGTCCTTAGCAGGTACTGAAAGTAGCACCACATTGGTGCCTGCCTCAGCTCCTGAGGCACGGATTCTATAGAAATTGAGCTATCACACTGAAGACTCTTCTCCTGGTGAAGTCTAGGTGGGTCATGAATTCATTGGAATCACATTGAAGAATGTCCTTCAAAAACGTCAATGACTGAGCTGGTTGAAGATGTGTTCCCTGAGGTATCCTAGTCCCAAGTTGTCTAGGGCTTTTAACATTAGTACATAAACCTGGTAGTAAACTGGTAGCCAATACAGTTCTTTCAGCAAAGGAGTTGCATGCCAACAGCAACCAAGCTACCGCATTCTGTACTAATTCCAGCTTCTGGAGCAGCCTTAAACGCAACCCCACACAGAACACATTGCAGGGCTCATTCTTGGGGTTACCAGCATTTGTATCACTGGGGTGAAGCAGTCTCTGGCAAATGAGTCAGAAATGGTAAAAGGCACTGTGAGGCATGGCACTCACTTGGGATTCTAGCAACAGTGAAGGATTTTCAATAGTGGAGGATACCGTGAAACTGTAAAAGCTGATGGGCTAAGCCTAGATTCTAGCTAATGTTGCAAATATAAATATTGCCACTCAGTTGCTTCTGTGCACAAACCAGAAAATGACAAGAACTCATCCAGATTGATCCAATTGACCCAAAGTACAAATCAGGTTATCCCTGCTAGTATGCCATAAGTAAATTTTCTTATCAAGCAGCTTGAAAAGCCATTGACAATTTCTTACCATCATCAGGGAAATAGTCAGACTAGCTGACTGCCCTTTTTTCACAGGGACTGCTGGTAGGGTGCTTTTGGTGCACCTGTGGAGCATATTCCATGGCCCATGGAATCCAATTTCTATCCTTTGGAACTGAGCAAAGAGGAATGGGGACTCTATTGCCCCTTAGACTAAAAGGCTTTGAAAAGTTACTGAGTTTGGAAGTAATTGTTTGAAGAAAAAGGAGCACTCATCCTGGACTCCACAGGTTTTCAAGGAGAAAGAGGGTTCTGGTTGTCCAGAAAGAGGTGTCCAAAGAATGAATAGAGGCCACCATGGATGAGGGGTAAGATGAGTCAGTTATCTGTTCCCGAGGCATTGTATAGCTGCAGTCTTCTATGCAAGCTTCTAAAATTTGCAGGAGGCTGATGTATGGTTGGATGGTCTCAATCCCACGTTGTTCAGAGGTTGGCAGATTAGGGAGATTTCCGACTTGTTGCTGTGAGGAGAACAAGAACAGTGAGTCGGGAGTGGAGCACATCCCTCCCCTTGTAGCCTGGATGCTACTGTAAGGATAGGTTCTTCCATCTTTGGTGACTGATCCCCATTATATTAAGAGGGAACAGAATTAAGCATAGTGTGGGCAATATCAACCATCATATGGAAAGTTGTGGAGGGGGTGAAGGAAACTGATGAGAGGATGCTGAGTTTCCCAGGCTTTGAGATTTGACAGTCCCAAGGAGATGGGGCTGGATAGAAGCACTGACTTCTCAGTAAGGATGAGGGTGATTAGTGTCTGGCAGCAGACTGCAAAACAGCTCTTGCTGGGGCCCTTCCCCTGCTTTCACCCTCTGATACTGATAACATGCATAGAACCTTGGGCAGATGACAGGAGCTTGATGTGATGAAATTGTATGTTTGTTGGTTGATTCAATCCTACAGGCTGTCATCCTATTTTTTGGTCCCATCCCTGGCTTAGTCAAAGGGTGCTTGGTATAGGAGCTTGAGGGCTTAACCTATCTAGCCTTTACCACTAATCCTGAAGCTTTAGGATAAATTTGGGGTGCTGGAGCTGAGGTTGAGCCCTGAGGCAGGATCAACTTAGTATCCCCAGCCTAAACAAATAAAGCACTGGGATTGGCTGTTGGCTAGTAATTTCCTACCACAATGGGTAGATTTTTCTCAAAGGTTTTGAAGGTCATATACCCTGAGGGGATAAGACAGAATAAAACAGAGAGTATTATGATGAAGGAAAAAATGAGGAAAATCAGCCCCAAAATGGGAACAGGTAAAATGCAAAGAAGCTATGAAGGTAAAGAAAATGCCAAACATTGCTAATGCTTCAGTAAATTAGAAGGAACCATGTGGGAGGAGGGAACCATATTTAGTGTGTGCACAGGGGAGGGTGGATAGGACTGCTGTCCAAAGCTCTGTTCAGCTCTAGATGGTTCTAAAAGACTTCCCCACACAACTGCTGAACCTATATGTGCAAGGTCACCTTCTCCTTGTTCCACCTTCATTGCAGCATTCTTTATTGTTGGCATAAAAATTGAATAGTTCAGAATAGATTCAATACAAAACCATGACATAAATGACATAAAGAGAATGTTTCATTTGTTTTACTTTGTCTAGAGAAGGAAGACCAGTGTCTCATGCCTGAAGCCTGGAATGTGGACCAGGGAGTAATAACCAAACTGAAGGAACAATACAAAAAGGAGCGCAAGGGGAAAAAGGGGGTGAAGAGTAAGTGGAAAACATTGCACCTTAAAATTCACAAATCCTGCCTCTTTCACTTCATCAATACTATCTTTCTTTCAATGTTTTCCTCAAACTACTTACTCCTTTGCTTTGCTGCTCCCAACTGCTTTCCTGTTCACATTTACTGGGGTGGAAATTAATGCTACTTAAAATCCAAAGATGTTGGGAGTATTGCTTTTATCCAGCTGGATAAAGTAAGGGGGTACTGGGGAATACTTTTAAGATGTCAATTAGTAATTACTTTTTGGCTATTATTAAAAAAAACACTTCTTGCTAAGGATTGTCCAAACCAGCCAATTTAACATGATTTAAGTACCTAGCAGTGTTGCAGAGGGATTATATAGCCTGTGCTTCATTGTGTGATCTGTCCTAATTGGTATTTCTAAGACTCTTTGCATGCACATAATTCAGTAAATTCAGCTTCTCTCCTAACTTTTAAAGTTGATTGAGTCCTCAGTGCTGTCTAGACAGTCATAGGAAAGATCAGAGTTTTGTCTCTGGGCCTTGGAAAGGCACACCAATGTCAGAACTGGATCTCCAGCTCCAACCTGCGTTCCACTCTCACAACCCAGGGCAGTTCTTTCCATGCCAGCTGTGGAGCCAAGACTTACCTCTAAGTTGGCAGTGGGGAGGTTTGGGAGGGAAAAATATACAATGTATCTCAGCAAGGCCTCAGTCTGATCTCAGTAGCAGGAATAAAATACTTAGATGGCTGTCTAAGTGTTTTGCACAGCAGGAGAAGCACAGAAACAGCCGCCATTTCTGTGCACCTCTCATCATTGATAGGATGCCCATAATCCTTCCAAGTTTGGAGGGCTATGGTTACTTGCACTGTATTGTACCCTAAGTGGGTATGTGCTCATTTACAGTAGACACCTGGTTCCAAACAACCATTCATCTATTCCCATATGTCAAAAATTGCTTTGGACTCAGTCATTTCTTGAACAGCACCCCCAGCTTTAGAATTTGGAGGCAGGTTGAAAAGGTATTTACAATAGCTCAAAATATTCACTTGTGGTGCACCAGAAGTAACATAGAGTAGCTTTCTGGATTCCACTATTTGTTTCTTTTATGTTAATTTTCTCATAGGAGGCATGAGGGCAGCTTCCTCTAAAAAAAGTCTTGTTGGGCTATTGAGGAGCATATAAATTTGAAAATAAATAAATAAACAATTAAAAAGTGGCTGTGTGAGGTTATAAATTTTGCAGTCCTTCAGAGACATTCTGTGATTTCCCTCTTTTCCTGTGCATCAAAGGTGTGTGTAGGACATGTACAGTGTATGTGTAGTAGTGTGTTTAACAACAAAGTCATGCCCCTTGTTCTGGATGGAAATAGAGTAGAGTGGGAAACCTCTAAAGAGTAGCACAAGAGATGAGTCAAATCAGAATGCAAAGAATTACAACAGGATCTTTGGTCTGGACATACCTTAACCAGCAGTGGAAGATAACAAATTAATTTCTACCCTTGCTTATATTAAGTGTTTGCTACATGCAAGTCATGCTATCTTCATATCTTCAATGCGGGGCTTGAAATGGAAAATAACATCGTTTTAGCCTTTTAGTAAAATCTGTCATTCCTAATTAAATAGAGCCTTATGCGGCAGAGTGCTATTTTTATGCCAGACAAATAATTGGAACAATATTTGAAGTTTAATTTCTAGCCCTGTGTATCATACTTTTTCCCATGTTACATCTCTAAAAATATAAATTCATTATGTGAAAGCTATGCTCTAAGAATATGTAGTATAAACACTTTCATATATTTAATATGGAAGTTGTAGGATTATATTTCAAATATAACAGATGTATTCTGCATGAAACAATAATCTAAGTGGATATTTGCAAGAAGATGCTTAATTTTAAATAGCTTCTTGTATTTTAGCAACATTGATTAAAAATATTAGCTTTTCTCCATTATTACATAAAGTTGTTCTGTGAATTGCTAGCATTTAGCATGTCTCAGAGGCTTTTTCTGTGATTTGTAATGTTAGTTCTGTTAAGTTTATCAAATAAAGAATTTCTAGGTAATACATATTAAATCGGGTCATTGTACTAGCATAGAACAATGCAAAACCACATAGTTCTTGGTAATGTTAAATGCTCATGGGTATATTGGCAAAAGACACACTAAACACAGAAAGTTTAGATGAAGAGGACTATTTAGTTTGGGTTTTTTTTCCTGCTCAGATCTCAGTGTACTCATTCACCACATTTCTAGAATGCTATGAAGAAGCTCACAACATACTGATTGTGAGGTTCTGCTGCAGCCCTGGTAGACCCTCAGATGCTATACCAACTTGTCTGTATTTTCCTCTGAAGAGGAAAAACAGAAACTTTTTGAGAGTGTTTGTTTTTCTGAAGCCCCATGACTTAGTCAGTTCCCTTAGTCAGTACCACCAGAGTGCTGAAAAAAAGGAAGGTGAATAAACCTTTTGATTAGTTTGGGTTCTGGAAGTATATTTCATGTTCATTCATACAAGTATTTTGCATCTAGAACACATCTGTCACCTTGCAAACCATCCCTTCAAAATACCATACATAGCATCCTCCTCCAAAGCATCATTTCAGGGTTATCCTGTCTTCTGGAACTGTTCCCAAGGTCTCTTGGTAGCCTTCCACACTTTTGTTTTTAGGCTTCTTCTGTCCCTTCCAGACCAGTTAAAAAGGGGTCAGACATCAGGCAAAGACTTTATTCTGGACCATGAAGACCGAATCACTGACTGAACACATACTTTAGAAGATATTTTCACATTCTTACTCTATGGCTGTGGATTCATCTCTTATCCCTGTTTCCCAGCTGCTGTTAACATTATTCAGTAGAGCTAATAATGGACCTCTAGCACAGGGCAGTATGAATATTGCAATGCCTCTTAGTTTCTTACGCTTGGGCAAGAAATTGGCCGCCGTGTCAACAGCTCTTTGCTGCTGGTGAAACGAAGGTTCAGATTTCAGTGAAGTGTTCATAGTTTTAACTAGAAATTCTTTGATGGATCATGTGGAGCCAAAATGTGGATTAAACTTATTGTATGCACTTTCTGAACATAAGAGCTATCTATTTCAACACATACATCCAGCTTTTCCTACTGTGAAAAATAACAGCATGATTTTATTCAAATAGCCTTTTGCCATTACAGAAATTAAGCATCTATTTAGGGCAAAACTCTCCTAAAGATATTGAGTCTGTTTAAATTAGTGTAGTTTAAAGGTGTGATGAACTAGTTTGATTGGATGCAAGAAACTTTCAAAGTAGAAATTGAGGGGGGAGGTGGGTCCTGAATGTTCAGCTATAAAGGCTCTGTCATTTTAATCTAATCAGTTCTGAATGTACATGCCTATAGAATTTTATGTAGTTTTGCTGACATGCTCTTCATTGTTACAGTCTTGCAAAATCCCACACACTTTGTTCCAAGCAAGAATTTGTAGTGGTAAGTTCCATCACTACAAATTTCGTAAGTTCCATTTTTCATTATTTAAGCAGGACTTGGGGCTCACAATATTTAACATCATTTCTGTGATTTTGCAAGGCTGTAGAAAAAGTCCTTGTGAAGAGAACTGAGTTCAGGTTTGTTACAATACGCTTTAAGCTGTATTTACTAGCTTAGGAAAATCAGTTATGGACTGTGGGTAAGATATTTTCCCATTCTTAATTAAACTTACAACAGGAAAAACTACCGAAGATATGTTTCAGCCTCAGTCCTATATAAAACAGTCAAAACAGGGATGTGGGAAAATGATGGAACAAAATGCAGGTAAGTGTGGAGAAGGGCATGGGGCTTCACCACATGTAGTTTCAGGAAGAACGAAAACAGTGACTCGCTTTATTTTTGTTTTTGTTTGTTTTTAAAGTAACTGTCATACTTTTTAGCTTGTGGCGGGGCAAAGCCACAGTCAAAACAATTTTTGTAAGTTTCAAAACTTGTGCATCATTTTAATTCATAACCATTGCCTTTTTTAAAATTAAGCAGCTTTGCTTTATCATTTGCTGTCACGTGGATGTATTTTACATTGTCATGCAAGTCCCTAAAGTGAAGAAAAGTGTGAGTGCCTGTGTGTGCAAACCTCATTTTTCATTATTTTCTTTTCAGAGCACTTCGTTTCATGCCTTAAACTTCATTGTTGCTGAAAGTAGAGCACATTGATTAACCTTCACTTTTTTTTTTTTTTTGCTAAAGATAGCACCCACGATTGTTAGTATTGGCATAATATGTTTGTGAATGGCAACTGGATTTGTATTAATGTTTACAAAACTTCTGCATTTTTTGCTTGTTTTTGGCCAGGGCCCAACAGGTCAAAACTACAAGATATGCTTGCAAATTTGAGAGATGTCGATGATCTTCCTGCACTGCAGCCGTCTGTTGTGCCACCCACCAGACCCAGTACCTCACGGCTTATTGAGCAAGAGATAAACAGGACAGATGAGGGTAAGATGTATAAATGTGTGTCTGTAGGCACCTATGGAATGTATATGTAGGCTTACTTATATGTATACATTTGTATTAGTGCTACTTAAAAAAACAAACCTTCAGTTGATTGATTAGCACGCAGATGAACTGTCAAACTGATACTTGGATAAAAACACTGAAAAATAATTGATTAAACATTGTGCCCCTAGTTTCATACACAAAATTCAATTACTTGCATTTTACCTTTTTTGACAGGACTGTTTTTGAGGTGATAAAATTACCTCCCTGTTCTTATGTAATATAGTGTTATTGTGAGAGCCCCCCCAATCTAGAATGCTGCACAATTGCCATAATCTGAGAATATTCGCTTTTCTAGCAATTATGCAGAACTTCTCAAATTGAGGTTATTGAATCAGCCCTTAATGTACAGATAAAATAGAATGATTCCACTGAAATACTGTGTGTTGACTTTATGCAGCATTTCTTCCACTAAAGGATTACTTTTATTTTTTTAAGGACCTGCTTGCATTTGGTGGCTTTTTCTTTTTTGGCAGCTTCCTTTTTACAAGCTGCTCAAAAACATGTAAGACCAGGTTGACTAGCATTCAGATGGAAGCACAGTTTGTGATCCAGCACAGTCACATATGAAGGCTTTTTGCATAGCTAGCAAGGATCTATTTTTTGTGATGGTACTTTTGAGCTGCAATTCCATCAGTGGAACTACTTCATTTGATTTCATCTATAAAATACAAAACCATAGAGCACAAAATCTGGCATCTAGAACAAGGCAAACTGAATCACAAGAAAATGAAGAACCTGTGTTAGCTCTAGAAATATATAGCTTTAATATGAGAATTTAATTAATGTATAGCTTTAATATGAAGATTTAATTTGGCTTCTTTATATCTCGTTTATCTTCAAATGCATTATTTTCTTCTGTTTGGTGTGTAATAAAAAGTAAGGAAATTTGGCCCTACATGTACTTCTCCTGAGAGGGTACTCCGTAACAGTGGTGCCCCCACAGAAAAGACTCTACTAAAATAATTATTTGCTTAACCATTTCTTTTAGCTGAAGAACAGTAGTAAACTATCCAGGGAGGGTACTGCTGTAGGGTTTTGTTTTTTTGTTTTTTTGTAATACAGTGATTGTTTCAATAAAACATTATATTTTAAACGAGATCATCTTCCTACTTTCACCTTGTGGTGACAGGAATGGAATGAATAGGTAGGAGTCAAATCCATACTCCTCAGGATTCTTCTACAGAACATAATGAACAAATGGACCCTGAAAGTCTCTTGCACTAATACTGTATTTGGGCAAGCATTCACAGGTTATTTCTACTTTTTGCAGCAAGTGGCTGTGAACCAGTCTGAGGGATATTGACTCTGAGAGAACCATTTTGTAGGTTCCTGGCAATAGCCAAATTGTTTGATAATTCTTATAATTATTTACTTTGATTATTTACTTGTTTTTGTAATGTGGTTACTACTTTATATTCTCCCTTAAATTTTCTACAGTGATTTTCTTATGAATAGCTTTTAGGTTCATGGCATATGTACTTGTACTTATTCTCTTTCAGTGGAAGCATTAACTTTCCCACCTTCATCTGGAAAATCTTTCATTATGGGAGCAGATGAGGCCCTTGAAAGTGAGCTTGGTCTTGGAGAATTGGCAGGTCTTACAGTAGCTAATGAGGCAGATTCACTGACATACGATGTAAGTGCTATTTTGTGATAGTCCTCCACCAAACAGCAGAACATAATACTGATCTACCTTATATGATTGATAGACAGGCAGGTATAAATAGAGCAAATAGCTTAATGTATAAATAAAAATGTAGCTTTTCCCTTCTTTGCAAAGGTGCTGGGATACAACCTGGCTTGCTATTGCCTTGCAATGTATGTAGTGCCACTTATAGGGAAATAGGTCCTATGTTCCTTCACTTAAACTTGGAGCAAGGGCTTTGTTTTTCCTTTCTCCTCGGTGCCAGATCTAATCACGTGGCTGTTCATGGTGATCAGAATCCTTGAATTCTGCATTCTCTCACATGCAGACTGGTTCAGGAGAAACATTTTTATGAAATTCAGGATGAATAACCCATATCACCATATAGCAATGTGTGAGGAATCTGATTTGGGGGTGCTGAGCATTTGCATGAGTGACTTGCAAGAATTGAGTCCAACTGTGTCCACAAAGCTGCCTTGCACACATTGCTTGCTGTCTGTACACGTGCTGTGCAAACAGAGTTCTGCTTCCATGCATATGACTTGCAGACTTTGTGTACTTCCAAAATTTCACAAATTTGATATAAGTTTGGCTTACTTCCTGGCCAGGGCCAAGTGCAGAAAGGAAGACTGGAGAGCAAAAGAGAACCAGATTCTGGCTAGATCGTCATGTCTGTATAATCATGTACATATCCTGACTAGAATACAGATATGTGCATTTGCATTCATAAGAGTACAAACCAGCTCTTGCCAAGTCGTGTGGGAGATTTGCAGACTGCTTTTTTAAACTTTCTGTGTTTTACACAAATTTAGTCATGGAAAATGAGGAAAATTGTTTAAAAACATGACTAAAAAGAATATTTTATTTAAGTGTGAAAATGCACATTTTTCAGGGATTTGCATATGTTGATGAAATCTGGGGATTCCCATATAAATACATTTGTGCAAAATCTGTTTCAGTGAATGATCAAAGGAATGAAAGGTGCCTGCTACCTTTTCCTGATAATCTGCAGAGAGCAGTTGAAACAGATTTTGCAACTTCCATACATACCTATTTTGCAGCTGTGTGTTTTCACTTTTTATTTTGTATTTTAATGATTTTGGATTCCACTGTATTTTTAATCTCCTTCAAAGGCTTTTAGGCAGGGAAGTGGCTTATACCTGTAAATAAACTAGTTGGAGCAGATTGTGTTAGGAAAAGGATGTAGATGAAACAGCCTTGTAGATATTTAAAGAAACAACTTCTTGTGCAAGTAAAATAGTTGGGAACTGGGAAAGTGAGGGCCGAGAGAGCATGAGCATCCCTGAAATTATGTGGGTGACAGCATCACTGAGGGAGTGTTAAGGAAAAGGCGAGGCAGGCATAAGCTTCCAGATCAAAAATAAATAGATTTGAAGAAGGAACCAGTGAATTATATTCAGTTCAGCAGTTTATAAAAGCCTTTGAACTATTGGGAAGGCACATTCAGTGTTGTTAAAAAGAGCACATTCCTTTGAAGTTGTCACTTAGGCGGCTTTGCAGACTGCACCATCAGGATGCAAAAGTACAAGTTGTTCAGCTCTTGTTGACATTTTTGAAATCTTAAACTGCTGTTCCTAAATTACTTTAGTTAGAAACAGTAGACTAGCATATGCAAAAATGCATCTTCATCTTATTTTGTAATTTTCTCTGACACATAGTCCTAGAAATTGAAAGATATAATCTCCATTTTTTCTTCCCCCTGCCAAATTATGGTTTTTGTTCTGATTTTAAAACAGATAGCAAACAACAAAGATGCACTGAGGAAGACCTGGAACCCCAAATTTACTCTAAGAAGCCATTTTGATGGAATAAGAGGTCTGGCTTTCCATCCAGTTGAGCCAGTGCTAATTACAGCATCAGAAGATCATACATTAAAAATGTGGAATTTACAAAAAACATCTCCAGCTAAAAAGTAAATGCATGAGTGGTGAAGAACCATTGATATGAAATTTTAATAATACGCATTAGATAAATATCATAGGAATAGAATGGCTATTTTGACCCTGTTAATTTTTCACCAATGTATTGGAATGAGGTACCAATACAGGGTTGGATGCAGGCTTGTCCTTCTCTGTAGAGCTCCCACTGGAGAAAGGGCTTGGGCTCCCTGTGCTGCCCCATCCCATGCAGAATAGCATTGGGAGATGGAAGACTGGGGGCGGGGGTGTCTTTTTTTCCTCCTGTGCTAGTGGCATTCTCTTGAGCACAAATCTGGATTTATTTCCGTGTGTTGTAATAGGACCATTTTGTGGTTAAGGAATGAATGCTGCATGCCTTCCAAAATGCATGCTACTTGTGCTATAGAAGTGTAAGTGCAAGGATTTGCTATAGACTTGGAGAAGAGTAGTCTTAGCCATAGCCTTTAGTGTTTTTCTACACCTTCAGAGTAGTAATTACAGTAACTAAATTATCCTGGTAGAATTATCATAGCTAACCATAACTTGTTGTAACTCAAATTGGTTTTTTGAGTACTCATTAGCCTTTTAGGAGCCCCTTTTCTTCTATACAGTAAATAATTTAGCTTTTGGTAGTTAATGGCCATTGAAATTGCTTTTGTGAGCAACCTCTCTTAATTATTTTCTGCATGAGTCTATTCAACAGGGTAATGAAAAGCTATTGTCTCCTTTTGCAAGTTTTAGTAATTATGATTTGTTCAGATACAATTGGCAGAGCACTAAGTTCCTGTCCCCAGGATCTAAAAGAGGGTTTAAATCAGTTTACATTTCAGGATATTCAGTTTACATACAGACATTTTCCCATGGTTTGTGTTCTGTAAATCTTTCAACCTCCAATTCTGCTTTTATTTTTCTTTAGGAGTACATCTCTTGATGTTGAACCCATATATACTTTCAGGGCACATACGTAAGTAAATATGGAGGAAGAGGCATTTCTATTCTGTTGTCAAATATACAGTTGCAGTGCTTGATGCAAACTGTGTTATAAGAGAAACTGGGCTGATGCAATCCATACAAGTGTCATGGGATTACTTCATCTTGTGGCCAGAGCTCTGCTCACCACACATCAAGTATGTTATTGAACTGTGTGCAGAATGGGAGAGGTAGTGTGATAAAAGCGATGCCCTGAGAGACTGGTCCAATCTGTACTACAGCTGAGATTACATTAAGCTCTGTTGGGTTGCTCCTGCTTCCTTTAGTTTGTCTAGTGCTAGTATTTTATATTTGGTCTGAAGTACACAAGAAATGGCACAGAATGCATTGTCTTTTATATTAATTTATTTTTATATTCAGAATCTCACATAATTCTCCTCCTCTTCTCAATCTCGTTTTCACAACAACCCAGTGAGGTTGGCTGGGCTGAGAGTCCTTGACTGGCCCAAAGTGACCTCCATGGCTTAGCGGAGGCTAGAACCCAGATCTCCTGAGTCCCAGCCCAATGCTGTTAGCCACTATATCACACTGGTTCTCAAATAGATGGATAGGAGAGGAGTGGACAGAGATGGATGGTCTCTCCCAGCAGTTAAGAAAAATAGGTTTGGGTAGAGCATTTGGGAGTTGTTTGTTCAGTAGGGGATGGATGTTATGTGCCAGTCCTTCATCTTTGAGGGACAGAAAAATCTGTCCATACATGATTGCAGCTGCAGGCTTGCATAGTTTATATAGAGTTGATAAGGTTGAACAATAACCCACTAAATTACTATTGTTTTTATGTTCGTTCTTTTGCAGTAGCCCAGTGCTTTGTGTAGTAATGAGTAGTAATGGTGAGCAGTGTTACAGTGGGGGAACTGATGGTGTCATCCAAGGTTGGAATACTACAAACCCAAATATTGACCCTTATGATTCCTATGGTGAGTGTCCTGTAGTTTGGCATATGTCATTGTTGCACATTAAAAATGCATGGCATCTTATTGAATGCACAGGAGCTCCACATGAACTCTAGAAAAATCAGTAGATTGCAGAACAAAGTGGGACAAGAGCCTGGTGAAGCAGGCATTCCAGATAAATCAGTCCCAAGAAAAAGAGATCATGTTTGGCATTAACCTTAGATGGGCTAGGAAAAGATCAAGAATAAAGTCGTGGTGAAGTGATAGTTTTGAAGAGATGATGAATCTGGGTCAGATGAGTCTCATCTAGCAGATTGCACTCAAGGCAGAGTAGATTTTTTTTAAAAAAAATCTGGCATTGCAACATTTTAAGTTAAAGAGGCACACAGCTTATCTCATTTCTAAAGCCTTGATTTTATCCTGAAATGTGTAATTTGTTCACAGATCCTTCTGTTTTAAGAGGTGCATTTGTAGGCCACACAGATGCCGTGTGGGACTTGGTTTACAGTGGAACACACCAGCGTTTGCTCTCCTGTTCAGCAGATGGCACTATCCGTTTATGGAAAGCTTTGGAAATCTCTCCAGCTCTGAATATATTTAATGATAATCATGGTATGAAATAATCTACTGGACTTTAGAACTCTTAGTAGCTTGTAGTTTTTGCCTATCATTGCTTCTGTTTAACCTCATTCTAATAGATAATTTCATTTCAATTGTTAAAACATATGATCTGGCCAGGGCAACTTCTTCTTCCTTCTCTTTCTCCTCCTATATTTTTATTTTATACCGATAATTTTAATTTTATATTTGTAAATCAATGTATTTTTTGTATTTTTGTATTTAATGGTAATTTATTATGTACTATTGTATTTCAATGTATTTTATCATGTTGTAAGCCACCCCAAGGTTTCGGCAAGGGGCGGCATAGAAATGTTATAATAATAATAATAATGATGATGATGATGATGATGATGATGATGATGATGATGATGTAATTTAATTCATATGGATTGGAGGGGTAGAACTTTCAGTAAATAACTCAAAAAATTAAAGCTCCCTGGGAAAGCATTTGATTCCGAATCCACTAACTGTCCAGTGATATTTTTAAAAAAGTGTTTACTTGGGACAGTATCATGAGATTAATTTTCTAGAACAGAAATGCAATCATACAGGGTTTCCCAATATAGCACCCATAGTGCCAGCAGCCCCACTGATGTCCACAAAACAAATGTACTTGTACTAAAAACAATGAAACCGTGAGCACCTGGTTCTTTGTTTTTAACCTACTGCTGATTAGCTGCTAAGGGGGCAGAAAGAGAAGGATAAAGTTGTTTCCTGGTCTTGTCCAATCTTCTGTGCAGACAGACCATTTTCTTTTTGCGCTCTCTCTCTTTCTACTCCCAGTCTCTAGCTCCACTGATTTTCTCCACCTAATTCCTTTACATTTGGTTTTTCTCTCTTTGTAGTTCCTAGGCCATTTCTCTCCGTTCCCACCCTCCACCCTAGCTGTTTCTCTCCCTGACTTCTTCACCTTACCGTTTCTTCCCTGCAGTCACACTCTCCTGTGCCCCTTTGCCTTGCTATTCCCCCCTCCCTTCCAGCCTCTGTCTTTACTATTTCTCCTTGCACACCTCTCTTGACAAACCAGGCCCCCGCATCAGCTATTATGCTGCTAGCCTCAAGTTACAGCACCCTCAAGGATTAACATTTCTGATATTCTGTTTTGTAGAGATGGGAATTCCTTCTTCTGTGGATCTTGTGAGCAGTGATCCAAGCCACATGGTAGCATCATTTAGCAGTGGGCACACAAGTATTTTTAATATGGAAACCAGACAACGCATTCTTACCTTGGAATCCAACATAGATACAAGTATGTATCCACAGCAGGGGTTGGGGGGATATTTAAGGGGCTATTTTCAGTTTTTTTAGGATATTACGCTTCCCTAATCTCAATATTCAATATGGTGTTCAACATTCTATGTAGGTGGAGTGGAAATAGTGAGAGAGAAGTGAAAGCCAAACATGATAAGACAGAGAAAAAACTATATCGGGGCTTACACCTGGGAAAGGAGAAGATAAACTATTTAGGGGAGTGTCAAATTGGAACTGCTCTTCCAGAAAAAGTTTAAAGTAAAGCAGGGGAACTGGGATGGCATCAGGATGTTGGGGAATGCACAGTGATACAGGCATGATGTGATAGCCCATCATGGGTATCATGAGTTGTCAGATTGTGAGAACTCAGAAAACTGGATGGCTTATTTTTTGCATACAAGCCACCTTGACAACCCATGGCTTGTTCTAAGGGTTGTTTGTACTCTGGTGGGTTCTTGTGCCAGCCAAACCCAGGAGAGCAATTTCATTTGCCAGGATTGGCTACAGAACTGCTCAGCAAGAGTGCTGGAACCACCACTGCTCTTAGCAATCTCAGCTGTGGTGTCACCAGTGACTACCCTCCCCTGTGACCAGGTAGGACTTTGGAGCAACTGATGCTTGCTTGCCATTCCTTCTCCTGTCCCTGAAAACTGCAGTTTTGTACATATTTTTAAAAATTACTATTATTTGTGTCAGTCCTTTGGAAGTGCATGGAAGAATTCTAACTGTTTAATATGTGTGGTCTTTCCTGGTCAGTGTCCTTATAAGTTGGAGTTGTCAAATGTTGTAAGGAACATACAGGGCAACTGACAAGGGAGGACTCCATACTGGCTAATTTGCACACAGTTGGGAAAGGCAGGGGGAATAAAGGAAAGGAGGGACCCATTAGCACAGTTCTGAAACAGTAAAAATTGTGAGGTGGGGAAGGACTAAGTGCACCGAAAATGTGTGGGACAATATCTCCTCTTTGGCAACATGATAACCTGGCTTTTCAAGTTTCAAACTGACCATTCTTAACATATGTTTTCATCACTTTCTGATTCTATAGCTAGAGCACAAAGAGGTGATATTGATTCTCCTTTCCCCATTCTGCTTTTCCTTTTTGGAGCACATACTCCCTCAATCCCTCACGTTTTAAAAAAGTAAACCAACAAACCCTGAATCGGAGGCTGAATGGTACCCAGTGACTGGTATCCCACTGCGGGGTGGGTGTAAGTTTTTTTGTATTGGATAATATATGCAAATTTAATTACTTGGAAATTAAAGGAAAATTTGTGTGCCTGCAGTAACTACTACAGGTATGCAAATTTCCCCTCTTTTACTTCCCTGTTGATGTATATTTCCCTTCCATTTACTTTCCAGTTCCCAAAATGCACAAATATTCCAGTATCCCTGTTCTATGGGATCATGTTGCCTGGGAGTGAATTTCAACGAGATATCCTTGAGTACTTGGAGTGGAGATGTTTCTGTCTGTCTTTCATGGGCTGCTGGCTGCAGTCCTTTAGTAATTGACAATCTAGTCATAAGTGCAGCCTAATATAGACTGGGACAATTATTCTGGAGAGACAATGTTGTGAATTAACACACTCCCTTCTCCTGTTTTCTCTCTCCACGCTTCCATTGTCTTAGCTATTCCTGTACTATCCCTAGTCATTTTGGGCTTGCATCTCCCACTTCCTCCCTTCAGGGTATCAAAGAAGGAACAGCATAATCAGTTAAGAAAGTTAAGCACCAGGACTTCCTGTATTCTAGAGCTACGAAATAGATGAGGCATTTGCCATCGTTTCTATGGAGTTGTCTAATTTGTGTGGGATTCCTTTACACTGAATGAGCATAATAAGGTTCATCAAGATTGAATTTGGGTTTTGGGGGTTTTTTTTTTTTTTTTTGAGCCTTGAAAATGGTTCTGCACAAGCTTGTCTGCTAATTTGGGCCAAGAGCCTTTTAGTAGTTTATGTGAAATAAGTCTTTGAGGGAAACTGATTGTGTGTGTTTATTCTCTTAGTGCTTAGCTCTTCTTGCCAAATAAACAAGGTAATCAGCCATCCAACTCTTCCAATCAGTATCACAGCCCATGAGGACAGGCACATCAAATTCTATGACAATAACACAGGTAAGCAGACTGCCCGAGAGCATAAGAAAGCAAAAATATCATGAAATAACTTTCACAGTTAGAGAGATATATCTGAAACTAACCTTTGGAAGTCCTCTGACATGTAACATATTTGACAGTAATAAAAGGCCTCTTGACTGAACAGTGCTGCTTAAAGGAATTGACCTCACCCAAAAAATCCTTGACTTTGCATTAGAAAGGCAGATGGTCCAGGAACATGGTTACTGGGGAGACTGGAAAAACTGATGTGCGCATCCCATACTGCATAAGATGGGATTGCTGTGAAAGCTTTGAATGAGTTTTTGGAGTATATCTTTCTGAAAATCCACAGGAGTTCTGCTTGTGCTCTTTATTTGAAGATTACTTGAAGCCCCACACTATTTTATTATTTTATAATAAAATAAATATGTAAACCATACCTGCAATCATGATTTGTATCCTAATTATGTGCTTAAAGCACAAATATCTGTAGTGCTTCATTTTCTCAAGCCTCTAGCAATGTTACTGATCTATTTCATTCAGTTCTATATATCATAGTCTTAGAGTCTCCTGGTTAACTTATCAGAGTCATATAGTAAAGTTGGTGCAAGCAAACCTTGAACCACTGGATCACTTGAATACCTTGTGATTTACAAGTTGTGCTAGCAAGTCCTCATATCCAAGCTGTCTAGGATTTATGACTCAGTAAAGCTACCTTGGTAAGCAAATTGGCTGGCACCTTTCTATGAGAATTTAATTACATTTGCTTTGATTTAACAAACTGCAGTCAGAGTGGTTTTTGTTATGCCTCTGGGAACAGAAACAGGGTCCTTGCTTTCATTTATTTTAAAAGTGAATCTTACAAAATAAATGTGTGTGTGTTCCTCACAGCTGATATGTGCTATGTAGGTATTTTGTACCTAACTACTTGACAGTCTTCCCTTGGCTCTTTCTACAGTTTATTTTGTCAATATTTTTTGGCCTGGAGTCCCCAAACTGTATATCAGGATAAGCCAGTCTTTCATAAGAGATGCATTAAGAGTGCAGCTCTGAATAATGAATGCACCATGATGGATGCATCTGCCACTGTATATCTAGCAGTTGCATGGCCCCAGGCAACATTCGTTGTCCCTTTTAGTGGCCATGGAGGTGCTTGATGCAGCTTGTGCTATAGGTGACAAGGTCAAGGGCCTGCCAGAAACTGAATCACTGCTCAGGAGCAAACTGCTCGGTCTTTGATTGACTGGGCAACAAAAAAGATGGGATGTTGGTAGGGATTGAGGAGAAGATATTCCTCTTTGTATCAGTTGGAAGGCAAATGCCTGGTCATTTCACTAGAAGCAAATCGAGAAAAATGCCTGTGTCTAAGTGTAACAGTGAAGTGAACTTTCACTTTTAATCAAGGAAATATCTGTGATCCAGGTGTCCAGTTTGGGAGGCACAAGTTTTGGAACACACAGTGAAGGTGAAGCTCAGAGACAGTCAGGTGATCACTTTTCAAAAGGAGAGGGAAGGGAGAGAATACTCCACATCAGATACCTCTCTCAGTCCAAATAATGCGCTGGTATGCTTGGTCTCAACTTTTCAGTATAAATAGCACATTGCCGCTAAAGGTCTGTAATGCATCACCATAGGACAAATGGTAAAACAGTGTTTCCTTTTGTTAAAGGAAAATTGATCCACTCCATGGTAGCCCACTTGGATGCAGTCACAAGCTTAGCTGTTGATCCAAATGGCTTATACTTGATGTCTGGCAGTAAGTATATCTAATATTCATTCTTTAAGTATCTTACTAACCTAAATGTGGATTGTAAATCTAAGGAAGCACATTTTCCCTCTTTCTAATGTAGGCCATGACTGTTCAATACGATTATGGAACCTTGAAAGTAAGACCTGCATTCAAGAATTTACAGCTCATCGCAAAAAGCACGATGAATCCATTCATGATGTGGCATTCCACCCCTCCAAGTGTTATATCGCCAGTGCGGGAGCAGACGCACTTGCTAAAGTCTTTGTATGATGCAATACTTCCCTTCCAGCTGCGATGTATATACAATAAGCTGTACAAAGGACAAGGGCAAGAATCTTCATTTCATGCCCTTTAATTCAGTGAATGTTAGTAATGGTTTAGGGGTTTTTTTTCTGCAGGGTGCTGTTTTCTAAATTAAAGGGTGATTTGGGTTATATGAGCTCAGCTACTGCTGAGAGCTGGGAAACCCTTTGTTTCAAATGGTCCATAGAAGAACCATTTTTATTTTTGAAGGTATCAGTATTTGTCCAGGCTGGCCTTGGGCAAAATGAAATCTTCTGTAAACAATATGGGCAATACAGGATGGTTAACAAAGAAGCCAGTGGTTCAGTCTGTAGGGCATGGGTAAATAAATTATTTCCTGCCCATTTCTTCAAGAATATAATCCACATATTTTGGTGAAATAACCCCCTAGTTTGGTGATTTGTTTAATTTGGAACCATGAAATGAATTACATTCCACCTTTTCCTTATTTGGTTTTGAAGAGCAGAATTATGTATAAAAAGTGTTACTTGATTTCGTTTTAGCCTGCTGGCTATTACCTTAGGTAGACTGGATTTTAAAAAATATGAATTCCCTAAATAAATCTTATTAAAAGCAGATATATAAAGTGCATCAAACTGTATCTTTTATTTAAACCTTTGAAAGTATATGTTAGGAAGTGGCAGGAACCACAGTTTCACCTTTAAAATGCATTCCTATGGTGATCCCTGCAAGCCCCTGCCCTGGGAGGATTAGGGTCATGTAGTGAGGGGCAGAGGCAGAGGCAATCTCTCCTCCACATCCTCCTGCTCTGCATATTTCACTAGATTGGCTTTTTGTCTTCTAGCATTTTGGAAAGGGAGGAAAAGAGGCTGGACAGGTTTATATCCTGGCCTCTTACTTTCACTGCCTGATCACCAAGATTCCTCCACTCTGAGGTTGTTTTCCCAGTCTCAGGGAGAAGCCAGCATAGGGGAAGGGGTGGGGAAAGGGATCAGAGCACTGCCTCTGACCTTGGATCAGGAAATCTAAAATATCGATCCTTCGCTGTTGTCTGGAGGCTATAAGATTGCTCCCTAATTCAGTTTCATATAATGTGGTATTGGTTTGCAACAGGGATGACCCCATTTCAGATATTGATGATTCTTCACTCATGAGAGCTCAGAAAAATAAATTATGAATCTCTTCTCTTTTCGGTTAGATTATCTATATACGGTTTAACAGTTCTCATTGTTGAAATGACTCTAAATGCTATCCTAACAATATTTTTATTGTGTCTTGAATAAACTCTATCCTGCTCTCGTGTAAACTCAGTCTCCTTAAACCCATATGGCATTGAAACTTCCAGTGCGTCAGTCTCAAGCTGCTGGTATGTACGTATGTGAGAAATAATCAGCCATGTAGATGGAGCTGGTTAGGAGGGCCTTCTCCAATCTGATCTTTGCTTTCCCAGCAGAATGCTGATTGGGTGGGGAAAGTGTGTGCAGATTTTGCCAAATTCACAAATTCTGCAGCAACTTGGGTCTTTCTAGGGAAACTTGGTGGCCTGAAAGCTGCTGTAGCATATCAGAAAAAAATCAAATTTAGTTTCTTGTGCCCCCAAACCCATTTATCTTTAACTGCATGGTTTTGTCTTATAGGAAGGGCAATCCACCAATAAATCCAAGAGGTTTTCCTGATTGGGAATAAATGGTCAAAATTAGATATTAGGGGAATAAACCCATAAACATTTGCCATCATTTGTGTGAAAATGCTAAGGGTAGCATGCTCATTTGTAGCAGAAACAAATTTTAACACAAGCACGAACAATATTAGTCACTGTGTTGTGCCACTATAAATAGTTATCTTCTGTCAGTATGAAGATTGCAGAATTTTGCAAATGGTACAAAAAGGTGTGAAGTACCTGTTTGTAGATATTTCTTCTCTTGTAGTTTCTGATTTGCAACATATATCCCTTAAATACAAATAGATGTTTCATCCCCAAAATTATAATGATATTTCAAAAGTTCAGCGCAGAAAGTCCAACATAAAACACACTTATCTTCTGTGTATGCACTCCTTCTTTTGGTGTCCTTATTTTTTTAAAGGATATTACAATGGTTTATTTGGGAAAAGTACATGAAGTTGTGTATATTATGTGTGTACATATATATAGATATATATATATAGATATATATAGAGAGAGGTTGTAAACAGTATGTATTAAATGCGTCTAAGGGAAGATTCTATGGGTAATTTTGATGTTTTAGTATTAAGTTCTCCAGACTTTGTTTAATACAAAGGATAAAAGGTATCAGTATTGTGCTCTTTGCTTAAGCAATATAATACATAGTTGCTGATGTTTAAATTGCTGTACATACAACTAATAGGCCAGCATGCTTGTTTTTAAGACTCCCATTTGATTAAATTATGAATGTAAGAAACAAAAAGAGTTGCTATTCATATGTGGATTGAAAGATGCACCATCCTGTGTAGTAAAGTCTTGATCCCAGTGAAGTGACTTTTAAAATAGGTGAATAGCTAGAGGCTGAGGTGCCTTTTGACAAACAAAATGTAGCCTTACTATAAGGTTGTGGGCTCTGTATTTGTGCTCTTCTCCAGACTGTGTTTGTGTCTGTCAGTCTCCTGCTAGCGTACTATAGGTTGCATTGTACTGTACACAAGTATTAAAGTTATTTGAGATATCATCTTAAAATTAAAAAGGGTCTTTTCATCTCTGAAAACCTATTTTACTTACCAGCTAGTGCTCGGTTGCATTCTTTCATGCATATATAAGCATTTGAACTAGGTTGGTTAACCTTCTACAGCCCACATCAATTTTTACTGCTTTTCTTTATGCCACTAAGTGACCTGCCTTCATTGGAACATGTAATGGTTATATATGAGATATAAAAGCCCTGTGGTTTGATATTTGGGGGACTATTGAACATATGCCTGTCACTGAGTAATAAACATGTGAGCTTTTAAAAGAAACTTGGGAAGCAACACATTTCTTCTGAATGTAAGCTCCTATATAAATGTTCATTGCTCAGTGACAGACATAACGCCCACCAGTATTTGTTAGAAGAACAAACACATCATGGAATACTTTCCCCTGCTTTCATCTCCACTTTGCAAAAAAGGGGAAAATTGAAGCTTCCTTCTCTGGCTTCTAACAGACCCACCTTTTCCTTTTTGTTTATATACGAGAAAATATCAAGCCAGAAGGAGATTCACCTTCAGATGAAACATGACATTATGACATTGTTAAACGGTTAGATTAGTGGTTAGATTTCTATAAGATGCCAATGTATTTACCTAATTATGTTTCCTAGCTAGTGCAAAATTAGTGTCCTGAAGCCTAACTTCTTGAATGTAGATTCAGGTAGATTGAATGAATTCTAACTTTTGAATGTAGATACTTGGCTTGGTTTGAGGGATCCTAACATAACTTGTGATGGATCTTGCAGAAGAATCACACTTCTTTAGGAATTTTTCGAAAATGGAACATTTCTTGCAATGTCAAACACATAATTGTATACCAGAATACTACAACCTAGACAAATTATATAAGGAATATTGTAGGGTTCAGCCTTTCAGTAATGGTTTATCCTTCTTCTGGAATTGGTCTTCTCATTTAATTTGACTTTTGGGTGAACATATTCCAGAATATTTTTTATCATAGTTAGTTGTCTCTTGGAAGCACAGGATTCTTAGCCGTTGCATCTGTGCTATAGTCCAGTCCAGATGAACTGAAAAGGCCTCCTATACTACAGTGAATGCCTTTCTGAAACCCTCCATAGTAGCATAGTGAATATAGCTATATTTCATGATAAAGTCTGCTCGTTGAACCAATACATTTTTTTTAAAGAAAGGAAGCTAGCCAGAATCCTTCTCTTCTTGCCTAGTCTTATTGACTAAACTCAAGCAGAGGAAAGTGTCCCAAAAGTTCAAATCCAACTCCATTGCATTTGGACTGAGAACATATATTCCGGGTGTTTTTTTGTTTGGTTGGTTGTTTTTTTGTATTTTTTCCCTCTTTCTACATCATCACCCTTTCTTTGGCAGAAGTTTATAATAGGCTAGATTCAGTTTTCCATAAGCTGGTTAGTCAGTTGGCACATTCCTTCATATTAGATATTGACAAAATGACTAGATCATCTCTTGCTTATGTTCTTGTGCAATATTTTATTCAAACACTGGCTCCATTGTTGAATTTAAGATTTTTAAAAATTTACTGCTTATCCTTTACACACTTGTATTTTAAGACTTATTCTCACCATTAGACAGTTAGTGGTAGCCCAGAAGTAGTAGATAGGATTTTCACTCCTGACCAAGTAACTGTTGTTTGTTTCTCCTGCTTTTCAACACAGTGAGCTGAAGCTGAATCCACTTTCCAAAATACCTAAATCAAAAATTTTAGTAGTGTATTGTTTGCAAGGAAATGTTTTATTTGTTTCTCAGAGTCATGTGGTGATTGAAATAATCACATAATGTCCAGGTGTAATTTGAGGCTTTTGTGTGTGGGGAAAGCAATCAACAGGAATAATACTTGTACAGAAGACTGTCAGATTATGACTAGACTGTGAAGTAGGCTTGTTTAATTTAAAATGAATTCATGATGTGTGCTCTGGCTATTTTCTGATTGCTCTAGTTGATTTTGCCAGGAAAGAACATGTACATTGTTCCAAATAGTTGATTTATTCTGGATACCAAATTTAATATTGTTCCAGATAATCTGCAAACATTTCCAGTGGTGAGGAATGGTGATCTGTGAGCATGTGATAAAACTCTTTGACTATATTAAGACTTTTCACTACTTACTGTCATGGTGTAGCTAAGTTAGTCTCAGCATTAGGATAAACCAAATAGTAAATCAATAAACAGGCAAAGGTCAAGTGCAGAGGTACCAGAACATCCATTTTAGGTTTGGATAGGGTCTTCTGTCTTCCTGGCTCTGAAGGTTCAGTCTGTTCCTCTCATGATCCCCAGGATAGCCATTATGTTTATAGAAAAATGGCCTTGGTGAAAAACACTCGGTTACTGGATGTTACTGTCATTTCCCCCTCTCCTAACACTGTTATCTTAAGCATGTTTCTTTATAAGTTAGCCCCACTGTGTTCAATGAGGCTTAGTCTCAGCTGCTTTGTATATACTCAATCACAGATCATTTCCTGTTAATACATATGTTAGTGAGGCAATACTGAGCTTTTAATGAAGGCAGTGGCACTGGTTGGTAGCTAAGCAAAGTGGATTTTTTGTGTACAGTACCTGCATTCTATGTTAAGTAAAACAAGTGGACCTTCCTGAAGTAACACTATACAGAGCAGCTTTACTAAATATTAGAACAGCAAATAAATGTCCTTTGTACTATGTATTTATGTAAACTGGGTGCTAATAAATACTATTTTTCAACATCTATGTGTGTTTTCTAAATGAAAAGAGGTTAGAGCTTTGGAAAACCAAATTGGATACAACGTATAGGATACAGAAGACTTCCTTTATCCATAATTGCTTCCTCCAGACTTTTCAGTATGTTTTTGCCTGTAAAAAATGCAGTTAGCCATGTTAGTCTGCCAGGGGGGAAAAGGTTCAAAAGCCACAGTAAAAGAATACATTTTATTAGAAACAACTAAAATACAAGTAGTAAGCATTTGTAACAGTCTTGAGATAGTGTGCAAGAGGGTATTGGGCATGCTCAAATCAGACCGTTAAGTGCAAAACAGGTATCAGGTTGCACCAAGGGCTGCTGGATCAAAGAATCATGTCTTTTTATAGAATCACAGGGTTGGAAGGGGCCTATAAGGCCATCTCACCCCCAGTTGTAGTGCTATTTTTTAATTATGTGAGTTTCGGATGTGTTTGCCTATACAGTGGTACCTTGGCTCATGAACTTAATCCGTTCCAGGACTCTGGTCATGACCCAAATTGGTTGTGAGCCAAGTAAAATTTCCTCATAAGGTTCAGTGTAAGTAAGGTTATTCCGTGCTATAACTATTTTTTTAATCAGAAAAATGTGAAGCAAAGTGAGAAAGAACAACAAAGATCACAGCCATCTCCCCCGCACACCCCAAGCAGGAGTGTGGCCATCCCCACCCTCCAGCACGACCGCAATTGCACCCGTCATCCCTGCATGCACCTGTCATCCTGGTGCACTATGGGGGGAAAGGGGCATGATCGTGGGTGCACTGGGGGGGAAGAGACGGGTGCGAACGTGGGCTTGCTGGAGGGAGGGATGGCTGAGATCACAGTTGTGCTCATGCAGGAAGCCAGGTGCAATCACGGGTGCACTCGTGCAGGAAAGACAGGCGTGATCTTGTCCATCTCTTCCCCACCCCGCCCCGAGCACGATCGCAGCCATCTCCCCACTTGGGGAGGGGGAGAGATGGTTGCAGTCACCACACAATGCAGAGTTTGCGACTTCAGTCAAAATTTTTATAAAATTTTTGTTCGTGACCCAATTTGGTTGTGAACTGAGGCATTCGTGAGTCGAGGTACCACTGTATTATTCAAATCTTTAGATACTACAGGCAATAATATTTAGAAGGAACTATGTCCATTATTTTGGAATTAGTTGAAATAGGGCAGGTGGTGTTTGTAACTTGTTCAAGAAATCGGCAAATCCTGACATCATCTTAGAATATCTGCTCTTGTACTGCAAATTTATAAGGTCAGTGTAGCAATTTGGATTCCAGGGTACAAGGTAACATGCATGAATTCTCTTTATTTAAAAACAAAGCTGAGTTTAGAACCTCATGATTATTCCTGTCCTGCTTAAGTATATGAAGTCCTGAATGGTCCCTCATCACGTGCACCCTATTTCTTTGTAAAAACTGAATTGGGTGAGAGTGTCCCCCATAGCCATAATTTTCCTTTTAGTATGTGTGAAACCTGCAACCTACTACAGTCCTCTTATTCTGTTTAGGGGCGGGGGAACTAAATTCCTCAAAAATTATATACTGTGGTGCCAAAGGTATCACATTTGGGGAAACTGTTTAGTTAGGCCTGTCCTTGCTCTCACGGGCTTGGCTCACCTGATTACTGGCAGTAGGAAGGCATCTCTTAAAATATGTTGGTGCTGATATGAAGAATTTTTTTTTTCTGTAATAGATCATTCACATATGCAAGTCAGCACTTGACACTGCCTTTTTCATGTATTTAATCTCTAGGAAAAGAGAAGGGTTCAGCTCTGTGGAAATGACACTTTCTGAGCTGAAGCACTTTCTGACATTTCATGCATTTCATATAAATGCTATAACTGAATAAAATACTCATTAGTGAGGGAAAGCCACTCTGTACATGTTCAGGGCATTTTCATTTCCATAGGCTCCAGTTAAAGACTCATCACTGCAAGAATGCTGGGAAATATGCTACTGGAAAGCTGCTTCTAACACTTCATAAGCTTGTGCAGCCACTAGTCTAATTCTAAACTGTAAAATATTTCTTGAAGGTAGGGCAAGGTACAACAACCTCTGTAGTAACTATTTATGAACAAACCAGTACGTAAATTTTGTGAGGCCCCATAAGTTCAGTTCAAAAAATGGGGCCAGACATTGGTCTCTGTGCTGAAGGGACCTTCTTCCAGTCCTAGCACATCACTTTAAGAATATTGCTGGGAATGATCCTTGCCTAGAAGCTTGTCAGCTCGAATCAAACAAACTATGCTCAGATGCAGTATAAGGCAACTCATTCTTCGGAAGAATGTATGCTGCCTTGAACTTCCAAGGAAAGCACTGTATACAACTTTGGTTTCAGAACTGCAAATATATGAAAGTTGCTTCCAGATGGACAGTTCCTACTGCTAGTAACCAACATTTTCTCAGCTGCAACCTTATGGAGGTGGGATCTGAGCTAATGGTGACTGACTGGGACAGAGATATTGGGGCTGCACAGCTTAGCAAAAATGTCAACCCCAAAAGGCAAACTCCAGTTAGATTTAATTAGGGAAAGAACTGAAAATAAAACCTCAGCATGTTATTCTGATAAAATACATGGTGCTTCTGGTCACTACACCTGAAAGAATATTGCAGCATTGATAGAAGTGCCGAAATGGGCAACTAAAATCTTCTTGAAGAAGTGAAATTACAACATTTGGAACTATTTAGCTTAGAAAAAAGGCAAGGAAAGAGAGGATACAAAAGTATAGAATTACGGAGTGTGGAGAAAGTGGATACTTTCCCCCACTCATAATCCTAGGACCCAGGGTCAGCCCATTAAGCTGATTTGGTGGCAATTCAAGACAAAGAAAATGATGTCATCTTCACACAGCACACAATGTCACTATGGAATTCACTTTCAGAAGATGTACTGATGGCCTCAACTTCACATGGCTTCACATGGAAAATAGACAAATTCATGGTGAGTAAGGTTATTAATGGGCACTACTGCTGGTTGCTATGTATTACTTTCAGCGTCAGAGGCAGTATGTTTAAATACACCTATTGCTGGATAACATGGGTGGGAGGTGGGTGTTGCGCTTTGGAGTTTTCCCTTGGGCAGCTGGTTGGTCACTGTGGGAAGAGAATGCTGGACTAGATGGACCCATGGCCTGATCCAGCATAGCTCTTCTTATGTAAAAGACATTCTGTCTGTCCCTCCTTAATGGATTTTCAGTGGAAAGAAAAAAAATGGTGGAAGAAGCAGTGTTAAAACAAGAGAAAAATAGTAGGAGACATTGTATGGACCCTCCTCTCCCTGGCAAATATTCTATGAATGAAGCAAGACAATCTCACAATAAAATGTTCATCTGGAATCACTCCAGTTATTAAACTTTGTGAACAGAAAAATCACAAACAGTTTAAACCAAAGTCGAATACCTTGGTGGGCGTGGAGACTTGAAAAATGTATTGTGAAATATACAGCAACTTAGAAAAAACTTTAATAGTGCATCAAGGAGGAAGCTTAAAATGGAGATTTTCAAGATCCTGTTCCACCCATGAAATCTTTGCAGAGATGTTTCAGTGTTCTGCTAATGAATATTTTGCATCTGTCTTCACTATAGAAGATGCAGAACAGATACCCAAGAACTGGAATCTCAAGAACTGAAATGATGATGATGGATGAAATTCTAGATCTTGCTGGAAAAATAAATCTCTGTGTCTGGATATCTGGGTCCACCTAAGAGTTTAGTATGAAATTGCCACCCATCTACCAAAATAAGAAATTTGCCCTCAAGATCAGCCTTTGTACCTGAGAACTGGAAAGTGGCCAATGTAATATCCACATCTTTAAAAAGGCCCTGGAATCCAGGCCATTACAAGCTCCTTAGATTATCATCTGCCCTATCTAAATTCCTGGAAAACATGGTTTAAATTGGAATAATTGAGCATATGGATGCATCTAAAAACAAACTTAGTAGTGTCAATAAAAACTACAGGTGCTCTTCAAGTTAAGGCTTAAAAATTATAAGAGATAGGAAATATGGCTTCTCCTTGGCTGTGAAGTTCCTAAATTAGGATTGTGAGATGTTCTGCTTTTTATGAAGGCAAGAAGGAAATGGGTAAGTACCTTTTTGAAGGGCTTGCCCTTTGGTGCAGACTTGGTGTGTCTGGCTTGTGAGAAACACTGCAGGAGACCCAATTATTTAACATGCAAGCAACAGTTTGCCCAATGTTGTGTAACGCTTCTATGTGTACCTGTCCAGAATGCCTAACAAACTAAAGTACCCTGAGGGGAATGGCTGAGAAGGCTACTGTTAAGCAGGTATGCAGCTGATGAGAATGGCATGCTGCAACTCCATGCTTGTCAGCAGTTACATTTTGTTATTTTTTTCTAGACCAAAACCTTCCTGCCATCTATCACAAATTTTGTTTTTTGTAATGATTCTTCTGTGCTTGCTTCCCATCCTCACAAGTCTGCCAGCAGCTCTGATTAAAGGCCAGGGTCCGAAGTGCTGTGCAAGATTTGAACGCCAGCTCTGAGTGAGTGACCTGCTCTCCTCTCCATGGCTGGGGATTCATGGGGGAATGTTTCCAGATAAATGCCATCTCCGGCATACCCATGATTTAAGTCCCGTGCTTCTGAGATGCAGCCTTGGAACTATTCTTCACCTGCGCTTTGTAGAGGTGAATTCAAAACTATGCATTTGAGTCAACTGGTTTTATATAACCAAGGGTGATAGTTGGATCTTATCAAATCAGTTTTGAAACCAGCAGCGGGAGGAAAAAATTAAATGCCTCAGTCTACGCTCATATTGCTATGCGTGGAGAATAGCTGGAAATGCCCTTCACACTCTTGGCTGGCATTGTTCGCTTAACCTCACTTTCTATGTCTCATGCAATATGCAGTGATCCGGCATTTAGTTCCGTGGCTGTGAATTGAACTCTGTACAAATATTCTGGATGATCCGAGGAACAAATCTGTAGAGGTGGTCGAATTCATCCACAAAGAATGAGTGCTCTTTATCAGGGTCCGTTGCAATGGTTTCCAGCTCATCTTGGGCAGCCCAAGCAATTCCAATTGAATAAGCTATAACTCCTGCAGTGAGAAACATGCATAATGAGTGGATGCCTTATTTCAAAACAACACTGCACACACACTCATTTTTCTGGTAGTCCATAATATGCAAAAACTGCTCATTGCTGGTTGAAAAGTATCATGGGCTGATTTTCTTCCCCAGTGACTTTAGCTTATTACCATCAGCCTGCTTTCCAATGCTTAGCACAGCTCATACACCCCTACACCAAAACTTCTACCTTCGGAGGGAACCATATGAGAACTGATTCTTACATGGAATGATGGTAACTAAAACAACTACAGGAACTGCAAGAAAATGGAAGTGAAAAGAAGAATAATAACCATCTCACATCTTGTTTTAGTCATTTAAGTTGAGTAAATGCAAAGTATGAGCAAACATGTTTCATGAAGCATTCCAAGTCCCATCTAGAAATGGATTCTGCTTTAGGAGCTATACAATTCACAGCGAGGCAGAACAAGCACTTAGAAATCTCTGCTGTTCTGTACCTATTTATAGCACACACTTGCCATCACCCCCTGCCAACCCACTAGAGGCAATATGGGGGCTCGGAAACTGGGAAATTTGGAGCTGTATCCCGTTCAGGCACTTTTCCAGCAGCTGCTCCCACAGCTCACCTCCCTCCTGCAGCTGCTTCCACACAACCTCGTGTCTCCTCTGGAGGTTGAATCCCCCAGAACACATCTGGGGGGTGGGTGGACTGCAGTGGGGAGAACAAAGGGTAGGAGGAAGTTGGTTCATGCCATGTTTTCAATGTATTTTATCATGTTGTAAGCCGCCCCGAGGTTTCGGCAAGGGGCGGCATAGAAATGTTATAATAATAATAATAATGTCGAATTTAGCCCTAAATGTGCAAATGTGCGACAAAATGTTTCCCTTCACTGAGCTTAGTCTTCTCTTGGCAATACACCAGCCCTGCAAGCTGTGAGGTGACATTACCTAAAGAGATGTGTACTCAATTTGAATGCATGCTCAAGATTTATACAGCGATTTACCATTTTGATGAGCTGCTGTAGCCGCCCCTCGGACATCATCGTACGATCTGCCATCGGTAATCAGAATCATTAGCTTCCTCTTGTTGGGTTTGGACTTGCTGAAGAGCTGTTCAAAGGCATAGTTGATGGCTGCACCAGTGCTGGTTCCTCCGCTCCAATAGTTGATTCTCTTGATAGCATTCAAGACGTCCTGCTTGGTGTTGTGCTTGTCAAAGCCAAACTCCAGCCTCTGTTCATAGGTATACTGCACAGCTCCAATACGAGTGTCTGTATCAGAAATCTCAAATTCCTTGCTAATGTTGGCTACAAACTGGAGGATGGTGCGGAAGTTGCCGGTGCCAACACTGCTGGATCCATCAATGACAAACCCAATGTCTGCTGCATTTAGGCAGGTCTTGCTACATGCTAGGCGATCGGAGTCACAAACGCGCTTCACTAAAGGCTGCACTACTTTGTGTAAGCTAAACCAGCTGGGAACATTGATTGAATAGTATCCATTGGTCCTGCATACAGCCTGAAAGAGATGTGAACAACAGCAAAAAGGGGGTTGCAGGGCAGTTTATGAGGACATCACCATGTGATTAGCAATCCCTGGTTTTATCTTATCAAAATTCAGTTCATATGTTTGTAGCTGCCAATGAGCCATCCTGCATTAAAGGAGCAGAAAACAGGGTTGGGCAGTGCCTATCGCTTTAACATATAGGGAAACTTGAGTTTTCGAGTGTGGTTGTTCTCTCAGTAACATCAGCCTTGCTGCCACTACTCTGCATCTTACCTGTCCCACTGCAGCTTGATGAGCTGATAGTTTAATGTTAGACTAGTCTTCCCTAAACTGGTATTCTACAGATATTTTGGACTGCAACTCCCAGTATATCTGGCCATTGCTCATACTGGTTGGAGCTGATGGGAGGTGAATCCCAAAACAAAGATTGGGGAGGCCGATGATAAACCATGGTCTTTACATGCTTTACTAGACTAACCATCATATTACAAAACTGGGATTTGAATGGAATCTTTTGAATATATTAAAATTATTGCAAAGATTTCTGCTTTCCTTCCATGTAGCTGTTTCTGCTTTCTCAGATGCTCCTACCATAGGTCACTGTTGTGTATGAACTTGGACTTCTTCCCTTGTTCTACTTTTTCAACCTGGCAAGTGCACAGAGACTCACTGTGGCACTGCCCCATTCAGAATTCAATAAAACCAAGGCTATCAGTCAGTCAAACTCAGGCTGGAGCCTACCCAGCTTGGAGGTATTTAGGATCTTTGAAGCTCGTAAAAATGTGTTTCATGGCAGAGACACAGTGGAAAGTGCACAAAATTATCGGAACAAGTGTCCAGGGCAAAATAATGTTGTTTTCTGAAGGACAGTTACCAGTCCACATTGCTTCCTGAAATGAGGCTACTTTGCCAGGCTTCCAGGAATTCCGACCAACACCACTCAGTTGAAAAGGAATTCTGTAAGGGGCAACAACCAATATGATGTGCCTTAGGAGTGAAAGTTCCAGCTGAAATGCATCCAGAGCTTTCATGTGTGTTGGAGGCAACAGCACATGGTGTTCAGCAAACACCATGTAACACTATACACCTCGATTTAAGCTTTGAAGTAGTTTGATTGCTTGAGCTGTGCTATTTCCCCTTTTATGCTCTTTGGTGTTTTACTTCCAGTGAAGGACTCAGGGCCAAGCAAGGTATGTTTATGATGTTGACTGCCCTTCCTTAGTGAACTTTTCCCCCAAAATAGCAGGCATGGATGAGGGGACCAAGGTGTGCAAACAGGACCTTGACGCTTTGCTCCTGCTGCAGTTGCCACTGGATTCTCCTCCACCGACTGTTTGCCATAGCAGGAAAACATTGATGTCAGTAAAGAATACTGGAAGGCCACAATGTTCCCGGGGGCTGGGTTCATAAAACTGTATAGTGGTGAATCTCAGAACTGACTGTACTAGCAATATTGAAATTGACTGAGAGATCACCATACCTTGTAAACACAGGCAATGCCTGGAACAGGACAGCACTCATTTTGTGTATTTTGTCACACAGAGACGTTCCACTTCTCCACTGACTATTCCATACATGGAGAAAGGAGAGAGGCTCAGATGTGACCTTGCCACCATATAAAGACATCCACAGTTGCAACACCTATATCCCGCTTCTATTCTGATGTATTTGCCTCACCTTGTCCACAAAGTTTGCTTCAATTACATTCTGCTTCTCATTTTCATCGGGTCCCTCAATGGTGAGAAAGAAAATGTTGATGCCGGATTCTCTCGCAAGCCTGGAGGCCTCTTCCACCCTGTCGGTGGGCCACCCATCCACCATCACGACAGCAACATTCGGTGCACTGCCTCGGTTCCCGTTGGAATCCTCGAAGAAGATTTTGTTCACAAAGGACAGTGCTCGCCCTGTCAGAGAAGGGGGAAAGGGGGAAATTGTAACTCCAATTGGCCTTGTAAAAGGTGAAAACATTAAATGTTAAGACAATGGAAATATGCAATCCCATCAAAACCATGTGCCTCAAATGGTTTCCTCACACTCAAATATTCCTGACTGTGTATGAGGTTGCGTATTCAAGAGAGATTTTGTTATGGAAACTACTTGGCATGTGTATCTTTGCTCAGTTGGATGAATCTCTCTCTACTCGTTATATTACATGTTTGAGAATCTGAAAGGGTGAGGAAGCATTTTCTGTAACACCCAACTATTAATGTGGAACGCCTTCCCAAGAGATCCTCCTGGTGTTTTCCCTGCATGCATTCAGATGCTCAGCTAAGATCTTCCTCTTCCAGTAGGCATTTAACCTTTCATCCATTGCTTTGCTTAATACACTCATTACTGGCTCTTTAATATTTTAATATTTTTGTTCTAGTATTGTGGGTCAGGGTCGTAAACCATCCAGGAAGGCTTTCTCAGTTTGGTGGTATAAGCATTTAATAAAGAAAGGATTCAGGTATTTAGAATTTATCTCTTGTTTGAAACTCCATGCTGATCACTCATAGTCTCAACCACTATGACTAGTCTTATGATGTGAAATAGAAGCATGCACCCCCAAATCAGGGTGATTTTTCAGATATTAAGGAAGTAATCCAATATATATTTAGACAGGAAAAATCCCCACAATTTCCAGCATTCTGTAGACAGGATTGCACCCTAATTTCTGCTTTTCTTGAAAATAAATGCATTTTCCAGGATGGGAGTAGAAGAACCAAAATGAGTGAAGATGGCTTGTGGACTTGACTGAATCTGCCTAGAATCTTGTGTGTATTACCATGCCCTCTCATCTGGTTCTGCATCATGTAGGATACATACCAACATTGGATAATCCTCCTTTCTGGACTATTTTCTCAATGGCATTTTTCAGATTCTTCGAGTTTGTATGGGACTTCAAGTTAAATTCGACAAAAGGATCATCACTATATTTGTAGAAAAAGCAGTTTCTTACAAAATGCAGTATTAATGGCAGCATATCCAATAATGGCAATTTTTTGGCATGGGAAATTTACATGTACAATTTTCCAAACAGGCAACAATTGGAATAAATAATTATTGCATGCCACACAAAAATATGTGAATAAACACAACATCTGCTTGTGTTTTTTCCTATAGTTTTTACTTTTCACAGTTATACATTTGAACATTGCGTTTTTACAGGCATGGAACTCATTTGCAAAGTTTGTTTTCTCACCAGGAAATGCAGAGCTAATAATTAACTGATCATTCATTTCCTTCCTCCTAGAGGCTGCATATTATCCATGCTTCTTTGCTAATAATAGGGCAGCAAAGATTCTCTTTGATCCTTTCCCATAAGGACAGACCTGATATATACAGGTCTGTAGGGATCTCCACAGAGAGGCTTAGGTCTGGATCCTTCTCCGACTGGCCTTATGTGTGGATGCACCATAGCCTGCCTTCTTCTTTTCCCAAAAGGAGGCCGTGTGCTTGTTCCATATGCTCAGCTTGATGTGACAGGGATGGCCAGATGCATATTGGGAGTACCAATCTGCTTTCATCATGAGAAAGAGTTGGCACAAGTGGAATCTGCCACAGAACGTTGCATGTAGCGTGTTTCTGCACCGGATTCCAGTCAGCCACGCCTTCTTTGAGAAGCCTCCGTTCCACCTCCACCCTGGTTTGAATCCCCACCCCCACCCCATGGTCCGCAGTCCATGCTCAGTAAGCACTGTCAGTTCTCATTCGACTATTTTGCAGGGCCCCTCCACCCCCGCCTTTTTGCACCTCGGCAAACCATGCCTATTAATGCCTCCCTTTTCTGCGCTGAATAGGAGTTTTAGCTGCATAAGAATCTGTCCCAAATGAGTTAGTTGTGAGCACTGGCCATAGAGTTGTCCATAGAGGGATGCACTGACCCAGAGCTTTTGTGCACATTGTATCTGTAGACTGCCTTCCATGGTGCAAATCAAGACAACTCACCATCCTGTCAGCAAGGACTGAAATTTGAGCCTCATAATGCATGTGCGCCTGTGTTTCTTGCCTGTGATTTAGATGTAGCCAAGGTAACGTGTTGGGTCATCGACATATATTCTGCCCTGCTGGCACATTTTCCCCTAAGCTGCTGGTGCAGCAGGTGGCTTAGTAATTCTCCGGTGGTGTGAGAGTGCAGTCCCATGGGTTGCATCCTCAATGATCGTAAGCCCGCAAACCCGGAAGCTTATGGCCATCCTATGCAGGGTGGGAGTAAGCAGCAGAGGTGATCTTCACCTCCCCATCCCCTGCCCTTCATTGGTTGCTAGACGGGCTTTTGGCTGGAGTGCTTCAGAATGCGAGGGAGTCTGGAAAGGCCTCAAGAGAACACATATTCTGGCCTCTCCAGTTCCCTCCACTTGCTCCCAAATGCCAATTTCTTCATCTTTGAGTTGCGGTCCTTTCCATCACCACCTGTGAGGGGAAAGGGCCTCAAAACTCTGATTTGGGGTATCTGAAACGTCCTATTGCCCCTCAGTCAGATGCGCTCTACGGGTTGCAGGAATGCTGCATTTCCCCGAATTCCTGCTCTATTTTATGACCAGTGCTCTTTAGGTGGAGATCAGTTGTGGCATTGCTACATATGCAGATGTGGAGACAGGTGTTAGACAATCTGGTTGTTAGAAAACCAAACCTAGTTCTCACCCATACTGAACCATGCCCATGAGAGGCCCAGCCGTGCCAACATCGAGGGCCTGAGCTACATCCCTGAGGAACTGTTTCTGGATCTGAAAGCGGCGCTTGCCAATGCTCCAGCTCCCATCTATCAGGAAGGCTAAATCAACCTTGCAATCTGGGGAAAAAAGAATAGAAGATCTTTGGCCCTCTTTATCTTGAGTGCACAGTATATGTCTACTACACCTGACTAGTCCAGGCCTATCAGAGCATCCACTAGGCCATTCTCCCAAGGACATAGCCAGCTCCTTGCCACAGATATCTAACCTGGGAAGCAGAAGATCCTGCATTCTGCCTAATTTGATTCGGAGGAAGTGCAGGTAATACAAGTGAAACTGGGCTTCATAATCCAAGCTGATTCTTACTTCCATAGCCTGGATAAGCAACTTTGGACCCTTCCACTAATTGTACAGAAATTGTACAACTTTGATCATCTCAAAGTTGTACAGTCCTTTGAAAGAAAAGTGCAGCTCAGCTGATAACTGCTGGGGTCCACACGTGCATTGAGACCATTGTCCTACAGATGCTTACCTGGGAATAAGTCCAGTAGGCCTGATACTAAGTCACACGATTAATGCCTGCTCGTGATTTGATGACTATGAGTTTGAACCAGCCTTGCAGGGAGTGAAAGTCCACTTACTGGGTGCTCTTGGAGGGAGGCAGCTAAGGCAGAAATGCCCTCTGTCTCTACTAACATTTGGGGTGCAACACGTTCCATGGAATGTCAGGCTAACCCTCCTGTAGCATCACAGCTGGAAGAGCCTCAGTCTAGGAACAGTTTTTATCATATTAAGTGTCTTTTTCTTTCCAATGTACTTACTGTACATTGTCAGTGTATTCTCTATAAAAGGAGTGGGAATTTTTGGTGATCTGTGGATCAATTTCCTGGGTCAACCCACAGCAAAAGCCATATTTCTGCCACTCCACTATTCCCAGTGGTGCGCGCTCGCTCGCTCTCTCTCTCTCTCTCTCTCTCTCTCTCTCTCTCTCTCTCTCTATATATATATATATATATATATATATATAAACCCACAAAATTTAAAGGCAAACTACTTGGAAAATTAAAAGGGACACATTTAGCTTGAAAATAAACCACTTTTGGCACTAAGCAGTATGCCACCAAATTTCAGTGACTAAGACACCAGGATTTTGGCCACTACACCACCAAGTTTCAGCAGTGTGGGGGGCAAGAGGGGGTGCACTTCTGTGTTATATTAAGTGAATCATGCATTCTTACCTGTATAGGTTTGTAATGTCATTTATTATGTCCAGGAGAAAATAATCAAGCTGGAATTGTTATACTGCCAGACATGGAATTAAGTCAAACAATTATTATTTCTTTTGTGGTTTCCTGATTGGTCCCTTGAGTCAGGATATTTAAAAACTTGTTCATTGTCTCCCCAATCATCTTACTATTTTAACTCACAGAACTTTAGACAAATGCCCACAGTGAAAACCACTCCCCCCTTTTTAAAGAAGCAAACTTATTCTTAGTGACTTAAAAGTAGTCCCTTCCAGTATAAACAACCTATTCTTATTCCATTGCACGATGGTGAAAAAATACTCATTTACCTGAAAAGGATCAACATTTGGCTAAGCCTAAATCGCAATTAATGTTTTTTGTTCTCCACGGTGGTTTTCACATGATTTCTCTTCGAAGCTATTCCCACTGCGATATACGGTATATGGCAATAAAGGTATATTCAACTGAAGAAAGACCCAGCTTGTAAAGATTTCTCACCCCCTGCTCACTTCCCTCTCTCAAACTGATGGGCAGCCTTGTTTGCATATTGTGTTCTAGCTCACTGCCTCGAAGCAGGATTTGTAGGACGTACTTGGACTGTTTTCCCTCCCAGCATCTACAGGACGGGGTCCAGAAACATAACTGAATAAAAACCATGATTGTCCACTGGGGCAATTATTTGTGGCAAATTGAAAAACAACAACAACAAACAGGTGAGCATCAGATCAGGGATACCCCAAGATATTTTGCTGCTGGAGGGAAAGGACAAGATGTGCCTCATACTACTTCATAAGCCAGCTGGACTGGCAAAGGAAACTTTCTTCAGCTCTTGTGGTGGGATAGTGTCCATTACAGCAGGCCAAGACGGGTTGTTTCCTCCAGTGGAAGAGAAGAGTCGGGCGTTCAAGGGAACCCCATCTTTGAAGACTGCTGCCCTAAGAGGCATGTTTGGCGGGAATGTGAAAGGGAGCTTTCTTGCTTCTCCCTCGTTCTCTTTTAGTGTCCTTCCATTGGCAACCTTTTTATTCAAGCAGACCTTTGGCTCGTAGACAGATCTGTTGAACTGCATGTTTGTATCTTGTGATGGTAAGGTCTGTAACTCTGTTCTAATGGATTTGTTTCATTATTATTTTAATCAAGCTTTATTTGTGGTAGGAAACCACACTGAGTGTCATCTTTCTAGTTGGGTATATGTCAAATGAACAACACAATAGATAATCAGTCAGTAGGCTGCCTCCATGCCTCCCCCTCCCCCCATATCTACTACCTGAAATTATCACCTTGCTGAATCCCATGATATGGCTGGTTTTGCAGGAGATTATATTTCTCTCTTTTTTGGAGGACATTTCGTACACTGGTGCAAAGTTTCAAAGGTGGTTCATAAATGTTGACCAGTAGTAGTCACAATCCAAGATGATATTGATAGTACTTGTAGCAAGAAATGTGTATGCACACATGTACACACGCACAAGAACCAGAAGCTGTAGCTAATCCTGGTTTCCTGGTAAGTTTGTTTGGAAGACACATTTACTACTGCCACAATTTATATTTAGGTGTAGGTTTGAAATGTTGCAAGTTACCCCTGTAAGCAGTGAAGCAGTATTTTGATTCACCTACTTGGATTTCCCTGGGAAACTGGCTCCAAAGGTTTTGGGACCAAGTCTTCCTTGGAGCTGAAACCTGGAATGAGCGAGAATATAGCACTTACTAAATACAAAGGACACAAATTAATGCAAACATATATAAAAATTCCTACAAATTTTAAAAGTAAATCAATTATCTGTCTTTTAACTATGAATTAATTCAACAATTAAATGGCAAGAACCTTATATATGAACAAAACCCAATGCAAGTGTTTTTAATACTGAAGAAAGTAGAATGCCATAAAAGCAATGTCTGTTAGTCAGAAAGTCCAATTTTAAGAAGTTATTTATATTTCCTATTGCAGTAGTATATCAGAACCAAAGTAACCAATGCATTAATATTTTTATTCACTATTAATATTTTTTCTCTTCAATTAAGCAGCCCTCCTCAATTCATCACTTCTTTTTTCCAAACAGATTTTGCAATCCTATATTCACTTATCTGGAAGTAAGCCATGAACACAACAAGATGTGTTTTGGTCAGATATGTAGGAGATTGTATTGTCATAATACAATATGGCAAGACAAGATCTTCTAGCACCAATTACATACCACGAATAACTATCACAGATTTTATACTAATTGGTTATGAGCTTTATGACCTATAAAAGATGAACTGAAATCTTTACTGAAACTGCAAATTCATATACTGATCAAAGTTCACAGGCTACCTACTGATCGTGAGATGATTCCTTGTGATTAGGGAAATATGGGAAAAGGAAGATCTTGGCTCCATCATATTGCATTTCCAAATATCCCTGTAGAGCAGGGGGCGGGGTGGCTGCACTTGACTGCATGCCACATAATGCCACAAGGCTCTGCTCTGAACACTGGACTGTTTATGCTTCGCCTGGGGACCACCCCGGGCTTGTTCAGACAACATGGCTGGCGTATTCTGGGTGATGTAACCCCCAATGAGCTGCGGCACATGCTAGGTGCATGTGGCCACTTGTCTGAACATGCAACCCCAGTCAGGGGTCCATATGAAAAGCTGTAGCTGCAAACACCTAGTACATTCCACACCTTACCGTGAGTTAAATAAAGCAAGATGAACCATGTTATGCAAACGAGGTCACTGTATCTCTCATGTTAGAACAATAATTGCAATTTTAATCCTGAATATAATCCATGCTATATTCACCTTTTAAAAAATAATACTTATATAAGGCTGAGAATTAGATGATTTTTGAAAACTGATTTGGTATTGTTTTGAAACTTTATTTCTACAGTAGCTATAATGTAAATTGTTTTGTGAAAGCATCTTGCTTTAAAAAGGGGAAAACTTACACTGACTAATTAACTAAGGAATTAAGAATGGGAAGACCACCCAGCATGTAATGCTCAGAGCTAACTGAAAAGGCAGATTGAATAGTGAGTGAATCCTGTCCCACCAGGTTCCCAGGCCTGATTTAAGACTGCATTCTCAGTCATGGGAATATTAGCTCACTGTCTTGGTACTTTACTGCAGGCTAATTAAGCTTTTTCACCAATGGATTGTCACAGCTGTCCAGGCTCATTAAATCGCCATAAAGGCAATAGTTGTGTCAAACAAACTGTAAATAATTCTCCTTGAAGTGATCATCTGTATGCACTGAGCTTCATCACTGGACTAAGCTTTTTCTGCTTTGTGGTCCCTTGGAAAATATTTCTCCTTTTTCCCACCACCTGAGCTGGATATGTCCTGAAATCAATAATTTTGTCTACAAATCTGTTTTGAAGGTTTGTAGCATTTCCTTTCTATGAAGGCCAATCTCTTAACATCCTTGTAATGGTGCTGAAATCTAATTTGGAAATCTAGCCCTTTTGGCTGTTCTGACTGTCACCTGATTATTTGTGTGTTTCAGTCCTAAAACAGTTTAATTCCAGGTATTCCATGTTGTCTACCTTGTTTTATTTTATGTGTCTGGAATTATACTTGTGACAGTTCACTGACTCATAGGAGCCAAAGGGACACGGTGCTTTGTCACACATGGCCACCTTGTTGTCTACAAGCTTTAGACTTGTGGTTTCTACTTCATTTTACACTAGATTCTCTAATTTCTCTGAGTTCTACTAACTTGAGTCAGGTGCAAAACAGTGATTGAGAAAAACAGCTTAAGGAACAGGTTGCTTCTGAGCCTGTGCTTAGCTCAGGAATTTGTTTTCATTGTCAGAGTTGGAATTCACACAGAAATCTTATTTACATATCTATTCCTGTCCCCTGCATCACCAAATCCCTACAAGTTATCTTAATTTCAACCGCCTGATTTAGAAGTGAAATGGAACTATCATTAAACCACTTGGAGTTAGTAATACTTGCTGAACTTCCAGAAATCTCTCAGTAGACTCTGATTTTCTGCCCACATCTGTTCTACAAGATTCTTAGCACTGACAGGACTCTAATACTGGTTAGCGCACAAGTGGTTGAATAAAACACACTATATCTAGGAATTGAAGTGTTTGGCAAACTTTACTAAGTCAAAAATGAATAGTACCCCAGCTAAGCTAAGCAAATCAAGCTATGCTTCTAACAGAATGAAACCACCAGAAATACAAAAAAATATTGAATATGCTAACCGTTTTATACACAAGAAGTCTAGGCTAAACAGCAACGTATTTGGGCTCATCTGTCTGCTAGAAAACATTTCCCCTCTTTGTGAGCTATGTTTGTATCCAAATATCTCAGATGCATCCAGAGATGTTAATTATCACTGGATACAATCCCATGTTTCAGCTATTAGTTCACAACCTGTTTTTATATGAATCCTGACCAACTCAGCTTTCTAGAAAAGATCTCTACTTATGCTAAGAATGGATCTAAATATGAAAGCAAGCTGCCACTTCTAGTGTTGCTTAGCAGGGGGACTTTAGTCCAAAATGGAAGTTTCTTTTCCTAGTTCTCATTTTTTCCTAGAGGCTACAAATTGGTATATCATGCCAAGATCACAACATTTCCAGGCAATTCTTATGCTTATACTGCATGAGTTTCCTGCATGTGTAAATTTGGCTTCATAATATCTCCCTAAGGGGTTGGTCCTAGAAGGTTATTTACCTGTGTCAAAAAGGCTTGATCCAGGTTTCCACAAGTCTGTTTCCATAGCTTTCACACACAAGAAGCAAAAATAGTAATTAATTTAAATTGCAAAACTATCTGAAGTTAGCAGAACAGACGGTACCTTTCAAGAAGTGACCTGTTGTAGACTACATTACATGCATTAACTTGGTGATAAGACAAACAATATAACCAGCTCACATATAAGCAACTCTGTCTTAAGAAGAATGGAAGATGTATCCTATGCCAGACACAAACAATTCTCAAGACCTGTTGTAAACTTTTTGGGGGGGAGTTGGGTTAGCGGAGGTTCCCTACACATTGGGTGGGTTCACGTGATCCTTCCCATACATGACAGTCATAAGCAGCATAATTGCCCATGTCAGCGGGTTGTGACATCTGGACCTGGCGAGTGTGGCTGGGCTAGTTTCCAACCTGCCTTGAAATCCACAGAGCTGCAGCTGCACCACATGGCCACCCCTGCATTCCCTTGATCTGGAAAGATTTGGCCTTAGGGCTGTATCCTGGTTTCATTAAAAGAAGCTGCATTTGGAACTGAAGTATAAGCGCACAGGGTGAATTCAGGAATAAGGCACTGAGCAAAGTGATGACTGATGTCACTTATTTGCTTACATGTTTGAAAGATGACTAATGAAAAATTATGAGTTGCCTCACTGTAGTTAGCCAGGTCCTGATGCAAATTATGAATGGAAAGTGCATCAGATTGTAGGGGTCAGGGGAGGGGGACCAGTGAGGACACTATTTCAAGAAGTATGCAGGATGTTTGGAGCAAACTTTGCAGGTATATATTCTGAACTGTCTGCACACAAAAGAGGAATAAGCTGCAAATGTCATCATTTGTCTGTCATTTGAATGTCTGTCATTTCAGCAGATTAAATGTTGTACAATTAGGGGTTTGCCCTCTTGATAAACAGCATTGTTTCTCCATCTACCTCCGCATCATCTAATCCAGGATCCGCTGCTCCTCAGTGGCACCCTGCCCCAACCCCACTGAAAAACAGTTTTAAATAAACATCCTTGCAAGGCATTAGTTTTATTGAGTGCTAGGAAGCTAGAGTTGACCATTAGGCAGTGGTGTGGGTGGGTGTGTTTCTGTAGAGTTCATCAGCTCTGATTTAGCTATGTAGATTGGTGCCACACAGTCTCAAAAGAAGCAGCGTAACTCATTCTTTTTCTTCCAGATTGTAAATTGTCAGAAGATAGTGGATACTGGTGTCCTAGAGGTAGTGCTAATGCATTACACAAATAGAAACTGATGCTGTGAAACGTGACTAATACTTGCTAGGGCAATGGGAAAAATGGTGATCTGCCTGGTCACAGATACTGTGGGCCACATACCTTGATTGGCAGGGCTGATGGCAGGTTTCCGGAATGTAGCAACTGGCTCCTGACGCTGAAGACCTATGTGTTTTGTCAAAAGGGTTCACTTTAATACGTATGGGAGTAGTGCTAAGTTCACGATATATCTGAAACGATCTTTCTTTTAAAGCAGCTAAACTCAAGAGTTGCACTTGAACACAGAAAGAGGCAGAAAGGGTGGGTGGGGGGCGGAGAGCATGAAAAACTTGCTACTTAACTACAAAGAGAATTTGTATATTTCCAGTAAGGAGCAGGTCCTCTCCATCTCTTGCCTCAAAGATGCCAGGCCTGAATTCCATGTAGCTCAGTGCAATACATATACTGCATTTCTTTCTTACTGGCAACTGGGCAAACAGAGAAGAGACTGGCAATCCTGTGCCCCTGCCATCAAGAGCAGGAGGCCTTAGGGAAATGGGTGCTTATGGTGGAAATGCTCATCCCAGTTTTGTCTCTCGTAAACTGTTTTGCAGGTTTTGAACTGTTTGAGTAGAGCGGACTGTGGGACAAAATAACATAGATTTACACCATGGGGAGATAGTTATAACATAAACATGGTGATAGTTCTCTCTTACCACTTTCAGCTATATTGCTTAGCACCAGCTGAGGACAAAAACTGATTTTAGGAAAATCAGTTCTTTTTTTACAATGGAAGCTTTTTCTATTCCATTTTTTTTTCTTTTGAGTTCTAGCTCCAAAAAAGCAAGCTGAAGTCATTTATGATACCTCAAGATGGTTCAATTTCAGAACTCCAGTGCAAGATTTGTACTCCAGTGAGATTATGTTTGCAGTGAGATTGTGTTTGATTGTGTCAGTCAACTACAGTCTCTAGGCTTTGGTTCTCTCTCTCTCTTTCTCTCTTATATTGATTGTGACTTTCAGCTCAAGAAAAATACTTCAGGTTTAAGTAGTTTAAAGTTTTCAGCAACTGGAAGCTAATAACTTTGGGGAAAATTAGCAGATAACAAAAAATAGCAAAATCTGAATGCAAAATACAGTGCAATTTTACCAACTATATCTCTTTTCAGATTCCATGGATTTCAACAAGTATTGCAATTGCTTCTATAGAAAACACTGGGAATTAAGACAACTTTGGCTTAGTTGGGCTCAATACTTTTCATACATATTTCCCAGGATGTAAATAATAACTAACTTACTTCCAAGTAGCTGCTTAAAATCAGGTTATGGGTTTAAATTCAGCAATCTAATTTATTACAGTAAAAACAAAGCAGTCTTTACCTGTATTAGGTCGAGGGATATTTCTGTTACTTGCATAGCTGGAAGTCCCTCTAAATGCTTTAAAAACATTTAACTTATCAGTACATAATCCTGAATATAATTTTAATTAGAAATCATTTTAATTTGCATTTGTTTAAGTTAGGACATACCTTGATTTTGGGTTCTTCCTTGTACAGACTGAACTTGCCCTAAAATATGCATTCAAATGGAATATATTACTTGCAATTTTCAAATTTATTATTATTAAGCATTTCTTGAAAAGTAAGATTAATTGAATTACTGTTGAAATTCAAAGCACCTGTCCTAATACTTAGAATTTGCTTTTTTTAAAAAAAAGGTGTAGGCTTTTTAAAAATCAGCACTGCTTTTAAAGTTTAGAACACTGTAGTTATAACAGGGTTGCGCAGAGATTCAGGGCCTAGAAGCACACTACATATTTAAACTGGTTTAACAGTCATTGCTTCTTCCCAGGGAATACTGGAAATTGTACTTCTATGAGTTGAGCATCCTCAGAAAGGTTTCCAGGAGAAGGGGCAAAGCGCTGCAGCAACTCAATTTGTGTGTAAAGTGTCCACCACTGCAAGACACTTGTGCACTTTTCTGGTTTGTGCTCTTTGTTGCTTAGCATCACTTTCCCTGACTCTTGGAAATCTATACAGAGCAGAAGAGGAGCCTCAAAGCTGAAGAACACCAGTGCAAAAGTGTTATATTCAAGAAGCATCATGAATCCAACAAACGATTTGGAGTCAGAGATTAAGCAAGCAAGCGAATGAAACACAGACACAGTACAGCTGTCTTAAGCATATCATAACACATATTTTATGGCATCACTGCCCTTAACAACACATTGACAACTTTACATACTCCATGCTTGCTCTGCCCCGTGCAGCCTCTTGCAATATGGGAAGAATAATGGTGAACTTTATCTGCATACATTCAGGAAGAAAGTGAGTGAATTGTCTGTTGCGTTCATCAGGGCACTTCGCATAACAACCAACCCACTGTGGCTTACTGCCAGGGTAGGTTGTTATGTTTCTTGTTCAATACTTCTCGGCCTTCGCCCATCAAAGCACAGGCTTTTAAGATGCTTTTCGTGCCGGCATCAGTGGTTCAAGCTTGCACATGTTTTCCAGGGATGGGGAGGCTAAGCAACAAAAAGCCAAAGTAAATAAGGAGTGCATCTTCCCGTGTGTTTCAGGAGTTGGCTGGGATAATCCCTACTAGCAATACGTCCACTCCACTTTCCAGATGGGCAAGGATCCTGTCTTCTCCCCTCCCCTCCTCTCACTTCAGCTGCAACTCACTGCTTCACTTTAACTGAAAGTGCATTCAGCCCAAAGGCCCACACCAGGTGGAACAGGAGAGGAAGTTGGGGATTTGCATTATCACAGCCAGTGAGCGAGCCTCTCATTGTATGACACATTTAATTCATGAGGCAGATGCTCCTGTAGGCTCCCAGCCAGTGGGCAGAACAGGCCTGCCAGCCTCACTGCCTCTTCCAGCCAACACTGTGCCATTTGCATGGCAACCCCTCTTCGTCTCAATCTATCTTGATGGAATCCCTCTCGCAGGTTTGATTTACTGAGCTCCCCTGGCTGGGCTTTGCCCAGCTGTGTTGCAAGCAACTGGAGAGTAGAGCTGGATGAGGCAGGTGTGCGTAACCCTTTACCCTGTAAACTTGCTGCCCTGGTGGTCTGGATTTTTAATCAAGAATGTTTAAACTACAGTTCCTAGAAATCTTTAAATGATTTTGTGACTCTTACATCTAATCCTATGTATACCTGCTTGGAAGAAAGTTCCACAGAATTCAATGGGAATTGCTGTCCCTGAGCTATGGAGAGAATGGCAGTCTTACATGTATGGAAGAGCAATCTTATGTGCGTTTACTTAGAAGTAAGTCCTTCTGTATTCAATGGGCTTATTTTCAGCTAAGTGTGTATCAGACCTCCACTGTAAAATGATAGAAACTCAAAATAATGTTAACATAGTTATGTACTCAGTGGTAACAACTCTGACACCCCATTAAAAAAATTTTTTTTAGAGATCCAACATTTATAGAGCTCCAAAACAGCCTCTCTCAAATAACAAACATATGTAGTGCGAGACTACTGAAAGAGTGCTCATATACACATAAGAATTTCCAAAGTTTTATTTTTAACAATTTCCATGCCAACAGACAGTGCATATAAAGCCAGAGGAAGTTTGAAATAGGTTTTAATTCTGAAGGGGAACTGTAAAAAATGTTTTAATACTTACATTTACTTCCCACGTGTCCTAAAAGGAGCTGAAGGCTACATACAAGTTTTCCACATTGTTATCTTTTATACATCCTTTAGGTGGCACTATGCTATAGTGGAATAGCACAATTCTACAAGGAGGAAAATACTTTCCCCTTCAGAAATAATACTCCAGCTCTAAATAACTCCAGGATATTGTTCTTCAAAAACGGAAACAAAACTGGTGGATGCCAATGTCGTCCCACAAATAATCATGAGTCAGGATTTACAAGCACATAATACATGTCTTGTGTAGGAAACCTCTAAGAGTCCCTTCTCCTTATCAGTGCATGATTAATAGAGTGTGTGATGAGTAGAGAAGCAAATGGAGAAGCATTGTATTCATCCTGACTTTTTTTTTCCCTAAGGCAGATTTTTTTTCCCTAAGGAACCTAAGGCAGATTACATAGCTCCTTGGGGTTATCCCCACAACAGCCCTGTGAGGTAGGCTGGACTGCGAGTGAGTGAGTGGCCCAAAGTCACCCAGTGAGCTTCATGGCTGAGCTGGGACTAGACCAGACCAGTATACCATACATGCCTCTATATAATAGGGACAATTGAGATTAACTACTTCTTTCTCCGTGAAAAGGCACGATCTGTTTAAAGAGATTCCTACAGTAGTGATCCTAAGCATGTGTGTTAGCCTATGGATTGCAACAGGATTTGCTTTCAGATAAATATGCGTAGGACTGCAGCCTTGGTATACCGGTCTCTGTACTTACTTGATGCTACAGCCGCCACTGATGAGTAAGCAGGATGGACATTGCTGGAACCTAAGAGCAAACAAGAGAATCCCTTACTGTAACATATGTAAAAAAGATATGCACACAAATATTGCTGAGGGATTAGGAAGGGATCCTGTCTAAAACCTGCCTGAAGTTGGACAAATGGCCTGACTCCATGGGCTGGTTCACATGACACGACAACCTTCTGCAACTTAATGTTTGCCTGTGGGAGCTGTTGTCTTGTACCAGACACCTACAGGTGCCATCTTTGCATGACACTTGTGGGTACCCCACTTGTTACAGCTTGTGGTGTCATGCATGCCCAGCTGGCTTGGCTTGTTTAAGGGACAGACCTCCCACAAATAATCCGTGGGTGGTTTGGGGGTTAATTCATAGCTTGTTTTAGTCTGTTGTGTCATGTGAGTCAAGGCAACGCAGAGCAGCTTCCCCTGTTCCTAGCTTGACTTGCACCCTCTGGAGTCATAAAGTGGAGCCTACCTATCCATGGCTCTACCAGAAGGGTTGTGGGGTGTTGATGCACACATGGCTTTGCCTCCATAGGTGTCCCTAGTCAGGTGGTGCTCCAAGGGAGTGGAGGTGGCTTGGGAACAGTGGCTGGGGCAGGCCTGGCTCCCCCCTGGTGCTTTGGGTACCACTGCAGAGGAGGCTTGGTGGGGCATTCCTGAGATTGTGCTGGTGAAAGCTTTGCCTGATGGTTGCACTTGAAGCCTGTTCAAAGGGGCTTGGAGTGTCAGCAACACATAAAACAACCACAGCTGTAAAGCACAGGCCCTTCCTTGCAACTCACCTATGTCCTTGACCTTGTGGATTGCAGCCTGTGGCTTTGTAGCTGCAACGGTTGTCATTTTGATGGTGGTGGAAGTGGTGCTAGTCGGGGCTGGTGTTGCCTTTGGGGTTGTGCTGACAGACTCTGTAGTGAGGATCAAGGGCTTTGGTGTAGCTTGTGTAGCGTGTGATGGTGCTGCTGCAGTCACCTGAGATTCCTTCCGTACTGAACCACCTATATTTAGTATTTTAAAATAATGTATTAGTATAAAGGAACATGAGGTACATATTGAAAACTATGGTATGGGTCAGACTAATAGATGACTATACAAGCACCTTGGGGTACATGGCCAAACCCCCTCCCCTCCGCTTATATTCTTGGAAAGTAAAAATAAATAGTGGCCTAGAACTGATAAGCCATAGACTGATAGAATTGAAACAGTGATAGACATGCACAAGAAGCCTTGGCTGGAGCTGAGAAAAGCACCCACTCTTCCCAAAGGGCCAAGTCCTCTGCCTTCTCCACAATTATCTCCAAATGGAGTTTGGATTGGATCAGAGAGCACAAGGAAGATCCCTCCAGGGGGCTTCTAGGAGGCTCCATAAGGCCTGGGGTTCTATACTGAATGGAACTCTGACACCAGAACTTCCCTGGGTTCTGCAGTGGCTACAACCCCAAAGCTACTCTTGAGGGTTAATTTACCATCTGAAATGACATGGGATGGAGAGATTCAGTGGTGCTGCCCTGTGTAAGCAGAAGTGCTTCTCCTGTTGCACAAGACATCACTAGGTCCAAGCCAAGATAGCTTGGTCAAAACAAGACAGCTTTAGGATTCAGGTACTTCCAATTGAAAAGCATGTTTTATTTCATAATGGGAAAGCTCATTTAAACAGAAATTATATCTGGGACAATACTAAAATAATCACGTTAGTCATGGGACAAGAGGGAAATACCATTTACCTACCATAGATCTGCACAGTTTTAGCAGGACAGCCAGTTTAAAGAGAATTAGGATTCAAAGTCTAAGCATGAAATCTGCATCACTTCCAGTTCAGGCATAAAAATTGAGAATGTGGATGCCACAAGTTCAGTCACTGGCATCAACAATGTAAAAGAAGCAGGACATGGGAGCTTGTATGTGTAATGTGGCTTTCTCTCTCTCTTCTCTCAGCTGCAGCCCACTGAGCAATGGGAAAATCTGAGAACATTTTCCAGTTCTCCAGAGTAGATTTTAAAGAGGTGGCTGTGGGGAAAACATGCTCTGCTAATTTAATGGATGGAACTGCTTCCATCAGTGAAGCAACACCTTGGGCACAACCCACTGTTCTTGGGCTACCTCCACCTTGTTAGAAACATTATGGGATAAACACATCCCAAGGGACTTCATGCAGGGACTTTGATGGCTCAGAGAGGGTTTGAACAAGGGCCTTCTAGTGCAATACTCTAAACATAACACCACACTTTAGATCGGGGTGCAGAACCTCAGTCCTGTGGTGATGTCCCTCCAAGTTTTTCCACGTGGTCACACCTTCTTTCCCCTCAACCGCCAAAAGTTTGCTGGGTGCCTGGCTTGTGTGCAGTGTTTTCTCCATTCTAAATGGTGGAGACCCTTCATAAAGCTTATTTATGGGCAGTAACAGCACCAAGCTAAAATCTGCTAGTATTTGTGGCTCTGGACTTTTTGTCTTCAGTCCCACCCATCCCTGAAGTCAATCTCTGAGAGATTCCCCAGCGTGGAACGCAGCCATCAGGATGAAAGACATCTTTGCTAGATGGACTCATACATGTAGGGACACTCTCTCTATCCAAGGAGAGGCTGGATAGAAGCACTTCCTCCCTGGACATTTACTTAAGTCTTTTCAGGGCCACCTGAACACCTGGAATGTGGCTAGGGAAAGGTTTTAAGCCCAGTAATGTTTGAAGACACACATGTACACACACGTGCTAGCCTATTTTACAATGCCTCACCCATGACTGAGAGCATAACATGCCTGATCCAAGCATAAAGACAGTGCAGTGGCCAGGAAGATGGTGCATTGTGGATCAGCAATGGTACCATTATTGGTACTTCTTATGGCATGCAGGGGGCTGTTTCTGTGTATGGATCTCCGTTGCTGAATATTGCAGCTGGAAGAGGCCTGGAAGGCCATCAGGTCCAACCTCTGCTCAGTGCAGGATTCAAGTCTCCCACCCAGATTCTAACCCAACCTGACCCTGCTCAGCTTCCAAGATTAGACAAGCGCAGGAGGAAGCATTGCATGATACTTTGCTCAGCATTGTGGAAGGATACCACACAATGTACACTCTACAGCAAACAACCACACCCCATCACTTACCTTTAACAGGTGTGCTTTTGGAAGATGAATATTCAAGAGTTGATGGGTACTGCACACCTTTTTTGGGTTTGCCTTCTATGGAAATGCAACAGAAAAAAAGCCTAGTCAGAAAGTATCTGAGCTTTTCTATGTAAGGCATTTATCGTGCACTAACTTCCTTATTCACTGATGTATATGGGAGCTTTAGGTGTCCTGGTGATCCTCCAGTTTCACTTCTGTGTTCTCCCAGTTTTTTGGAACGGGAAAAAGGGGCATTAGTTCTGAAAATGCTCTCTGTACTTGTGTATTTGTGCTATTCTGCTATAGCTCATGGTCACCTAGAGGTTATGCAGTAGAAAAGCAGGAATGAAAAGCTTTTTTGTAGAGCTCAGATCAAAATTCTGTGGAAAAACTGAAAGTAGATACAGCAATAAACAGTTCCTTGTATAGACAACAGATTATCTTGCAAGAAAAGCATGGATGTATTTTAAGCCAATTAGAAATGAAGATTTAATATGGATTGAGAGTAAGGTGTTTAGCATATTGAAGTGTTCTTAAATCAGCCTTTAGATGATCTAAGCTTTGCACTTAACCAGTTCCTTGGCTTTCAACTATCCCCTGCTAGACCTATAACTCAGGCTATTCTGTGGCACATAAGAACCTGGTGGTTGGTACTTTTAAAAATTATTATTCATATTTGCAAATTTCCTTCTCCTTCCTTTAAGGAGAATCATCTTCTTGACATGGCACGCTCTTTCCTGAGGTTTTGTTGTAAGGATGATACTCCAAAACCTATTCCATTGCCCTAACCAAGGTTTAAGACCTAAACAGAATGCACAAATAGACAGACTCATATGAAACTGTAGCTCCCTGAGTTAAATGTGAATGCTACATTCTTTATGAAGTGGGGAATATTAATCTGACAGTCAAATTTAACTTCCATATGCCATTTGCTGTCAAGTCATCTCTGACTTATGGTGACCCTATAAATGAAAGTTCTCCAAAATGGCTTACCCATGGCAATCCTACCTTGCTCCTGTGAGTTCAAGACCGTGGCTTCCTTTATGGAGTCAAGCCATCACATATTTTGTCCATATGCCATAACACACATATATAGGATTTCTTTACTGTTATCATTGTAATTTATGAGTTTTAAAAATGAAATGGCAGTCAATAAAAATTATATCTATGTATAACCGTATATAGGGAATTCTGACAGTTATAATCTAGTGCAACCACAAACTTTTCATTGTGCCATACCATATGTTACTACTGTTGACTTTTTCTGCTTCTAATACATTTTAAATAAATATTTTTAGAATCTGTAAATTAGTCTTAACAACAGTGTTTATAAAAACCAGCACATTTTTCTTCTCATGGTAAGAAAATTTGGTATAAAATGTTAATTATATGCCCTATGCCTGCTTATCATCTCTGAGCTTGTGCATTTCGGATATGAACACCACATTCTATATCAGTAGATTCCAAGATCCAGTTTTCATATGCACTATTTCCAAGTAAGGAACCTCCAACTTGTACTTCAGATTCCCCTCTTCTGATGACAAAGTTTGCATTCTCTGCTGAACTTCATTTTGTCACTTTCATTCCAGTTCTCCATTCTGTCAAATGGAAGTTGCTACTTATTCATCCTGGTTTTGCATCATCTACAAATAATTTGAACTAAAGTTGTTGTTGTTGTTTAGGTGTAGTTGCATGATTACATTAATTGCATTTAAATAAAGATAGGTTAACAAGTGCAAATTAAAAGATCTGACTTTCACTGGAACACATATTTTCCACTTAAATTGATTTTTTACTTGCTCTATAATACCTTTTCATCTTAACAAGAGTGCACAGCCATCTTAATAATTTAAAATATACAGAAAAGGGCATTTTAGCACACATTTAAAAACCGATTAAAGAAACATGCCCCTGTTCTGTTCTATTTTAAAAGTAGGATTTTTGATTTCTTTAAAATAAGAGGAAGAAGAACTAAGCAGAAAACAATGATTTAATGATGACATAAATTAAAAGAGCAAAGAATGGCAATTCCAGAGTAAACACATCTAATGTGGAAGCTGCTGTGCTTTCCTTCACTGTATTGTTATAAAATGACACAACTCTGTAGAGCAGTGTATCATTTGAGCTATTAGGTTGTGTTATCACGTTGGAGATACTGGCCACAATCCAAGACAGAGTTCAGTTTATGTTAAGCTCCTTGATTTCAATAGTATTTGCAACTCTGAAATGGCTGATACAGTTGTAAAGCCCAGTGATCGGCCAAGGCTAAGCATGCTAATTCATTAAACAAAGGAGAAAGAAAGCATAGTAGATTGGATCTGCTTGCGTTGTTCTCCATGCAGTATCTAAAGCAATATCCTTGTGGTTTTCATTTCAGCAAGGAAAATGAAATGCATTAATTAGGATAAAGTGCGAAAACAGAAAGCTTAAAAAAGCGAACAAAACCAATTGGTAGTCTTGTTATATTTGGATCAAAAATCTGAATGCTTTCAATGTTGTATGAAAAAACTGAGCAGATTACAGATTGGATGTCTGTAGTTTCTGTAATTTCCCCAAAACTTCAAGAGACCCAGAACAAACTATGCTATTTTCTTAACCCGCTAGCAGGACGCCGTCATTGATTTGAATGGAGTCATTCATTTACACATAAGCAGGATCATTTCAATACTCTGAAAAGTGAGTACCAGCCAATTTGCATACCTCCTAGCGTGCTCATCATTTGCAGCTTGCCTGTTGTCCTTCATTCTCGCATGGTTGTACTTTTTTCCCTTACGGGTCTTTGTATGTTCAGCCAAGCTGGCACATCCCAACCCCCTTAATGGTGGGTTAAGTGGGGAAACATTTTTTTGTTCTCTATTCTGCAGTGCCACTATTGGCTTGTAGACAATGAGCTCACTTGTAATAGAGCAACTCTTGTGTTCAAACTTAACTTGCCTTCCTGTAAGATGTCATTCACAGATGACTTACTGCAATTTCTGTATTTGCAATTTCTTCTACTTTCAACTTCTTCTTGTATGATTGCCTAATTAAGACATTGGCAAATGTATATACAATGGTGAATTCATTAAAAACTAATGAAGCGATTGCAATCCAACAATCCAAGGGAAGGCAATTGTGCATCTGCTTTTTGAATGTGATTTGTTAATCAGAAGGCTCATTTGTTATTCTCCCTTAGTCCAGCTCAGTTTTGCTAAAGTTTGGAAATGCCCATTATTTTCCTCATTAAATTCTTTTCACATATAACAGAATGCAAAAGCCGGATTTTTGACATGCTTTTCTTATACTAGGCATAATTTGAAAGGGAAAAACCCCCTATTTTGGAGTCATATGCATTGTCTGATAATCTCTTAGAGCTTTGTAAAAGAAGAAAATGTGGCACTACCAAAAATGAACGGATTAGGCATTACCTGAAACAATGAAGGACTCCCTCCACCGTGGTAAAGACAATGATCGGATTCCATTAGTGAAACTACCCTTGTAACCAGATTGTCCGGCAACTTTTTGAACCAGGATTTTTCCTCCAGATCTGTCTATTGTACCACTGCAAAACATGTATTTATTATTTTGAAGTATCCATAGTCTCCCCAGAGATCTGAGCAGCCTTTGAATTGTGAGCCCAACCCACAATGATATAAACTTCTAGGATGATTACAGGGAATTGGATGCCTCATACATATAATCTCTTTCTAGGCCTACCTTATCTCAGCACAGGACTTATTCTAACTGAAGAGCAGGTGGCTTTCTGAAACAGGTTTCCCTCAATCTTCAGTCCACAGAACTGAGCTTTCTCTTGCTCATTAACCCCACAGTGTAGCACCAACTCAATTAACAAGGAATGTTATAATTCTGGGACTGAGGATAATGTTAGTGTTGGAATGTATTCAGTCTGAACTCTAGCTTTGTACCATATGCAGATGTTTAATATATAGCCTGTATAATAAAACGATCGTGCAGTTCTTTAACTGAGATGGGCAACTCCTTCCCCTGGCCCTGGCCGAAAGTAATGGCTGACAGAGGTGGGACCTACTACCATGAGTTCCATTCCCCCAGAAAGAGTATGCAGCAAGAACCCTGGTATCTGCATAATTTCTCCCAGTCCAGTATCCAGGGGTATCCTTTCCCCATGATGCTGCTGCTTCTTGTCTGAAAAGGTCTCCTTACTTCAAGAGCTGCCTGTCTCCACATCTCAGGATGTGGCCCAGAAGTGAAAGGAAAGGGCGCTCACATCACGGATGCTTCCTTGTCTCACTGCTTCCTCTTAAAATTTCAATCAGCTCTCATACTCATTTACTCATGAATACAAAGAGCAGTTCTTGGAAATATGAGAATGGTTGGCTTGCATATAGATAATTTCATCAGTGTCATGGCCATGAAACTTGTGGGGAAGATCTATACTTTCAGTAACTTATCAGGAACAAAATGCAACTCTCCACAAATTGCACGGCAGTTTAATAGAAAAAGTAGAAAGCGTTTGTTCAGGATCCCATGCCTACTTCCACAGTGCCCCATTCCCCAGTCCTGCCCTCCCCGCCTCTTGCACATAAGCTGCCTTTATTACATGCCTCGCTTTGCCCTGGAAGGCTATTACTGCAAGGAAGGTGCACTGTGCCAAGGGCTACTCCTTGGGCTAACTCTCAAGAGCAGCAGTGTTAAAGGAATTTGAAGATTATTAACCTTGGGTTGAAGCAAAAGAATTCTTTCCTCATTTCCTCTGAATTTTTAACATCTTTCCCTTTGGTTCTGCACCCTCTCTTAGATTAAAGGCCAAGCCTGCTGACCTGTGAATTGCAGCACCGCATATGCTGGAGAAAGACGCATAGATATCAGTGCCATAGACTCGGTATTTGACATCTTGACATCCTGAGGGACACATGGCAATGAATTCTGGATTTATGATCTTCGCAGCTTTGACGTCACACTCGATCTGAGGTACATCTGTGAACACAAAGTCTAGCATTACTTTTAATATTGATGTCCTTATAGGAGAGTAGCCATGCAATTAACACAAATGTGTTATGAGTTGGCTGCCTATGCCGATGCATTTGTGCCATTATTTTTAGTCCGAAGAAGTATGCAATGTTTAGGTACAGGAGACGCAAAACCCAGCATTCATTTTATGTGTTCCCTGTTTGTTCTCTGACAGCAAGAAGATGCCTACAGTGCATTTAATTCTATTCACTATTACTCCAGCCCATCAGTTTGCTGAAATTGCAGGAGAATCCACCAAATACTCTGAGAGGTCTTCACATGTGGCCCACATGTGGAGCATTCTGTATTCTTGGAAAGGCCATGGATCACTGGGCTGTTGTTTGCAGTACATGGGAAAATGAGCATCGGAGGTCACTCAGAGGTAAATCCCTGAATTGGGGAATGGATTCATCTCTTCTCTCCAGAATGTGTATAAACAAATGCAGTGAAAGTCCATTTCAGAAACGGCAGTTGGCAGTTGCTGAGCTTTCTTTTGACCTGTTGATAACCTACTGTTTATCAGGTATGCTGTTTGGGGTAATTGACTTTTAAATCAATGGAGAATGGACTATTGCTGATTGAATATCTCACACAGTAATGGGAAGTAGTATCCTGAGGGAGGAATTCGGGTGATGATCCCTGAGATGAGAATTGGGATGTTACAGGAAAGTCTTTATATTTGTACGCAGCATCTGCAAGTGTAGTTTCTATTGTCTGTTTTCTTAACAACATTTCTATAAATACAAAGCAGAATGTAAAGATACAGTTGACCTTCAATAGGGCCCAACATTCCCATTTTAGATCAATTGTGTGCATTGTTTTGTTCACTCACATAATTTTGGCTTTTTGTTTTTCTTGGTGGCTTCTTTAGTTGCAGATGTGCCAGCCAGCAACAAAGCTGAAACAAAGTAAGCAGGAAAATATGAAGAAGTTTGGAGTATGAAAAAGCAAACGGAGGGCAGCAGCATTCTGTATAAAATTGAGGAGGTGTGGACTTGTGAGTTTTCTGGCATTCTTGGTGCAATACCAGGCATGTTTATTCAGAAGTAATCACCACTAAGTTCAAATGGGCTTACTCTAAGGCAAGTGTGTAAAGGATTGCAGTCTCATGCTATCTGTAACTGTCAGTTTTCCTGCCTTTGTTTCTGCAAGATTTATATCCTAATTTTAGATTATATACCTTTGGCAATACAATGACACATCTGTCTCAACAGAATGCCATAACCTGCCTTGAATCTATGGGATAGGGCAGGTTATATACAAACAAATGCACCAAGAAATAAATATCATTCAGTTCACTGAATTACTTACCAAAGACTACTGGAAAAGTTGCTGCTGCTTTCATGATGAAAGAAATGAAGTCCTGGAATTTTAATGGGATTCACTGTAAAAATTAGAAATCCAATAGATTCACACTTACTTTTAAAAGATCACTTGCTAATGATATTGATAAAGTAGATTGTGTACGTACAGCTTTGGACACATTAGATATACTGTGGTGACTATAGCAGATGAAATACTAGCTCTCTGAATTACTTTCTCAGCCACTGAAATACCAGCTACATGTACCAGCTACATGTATCTTCAAACATTATGTTGTAAGCCGCCCCGAGGCTTCGGCGAATGGGCGGCATAAAACTGTTTTAATAAATAAATAAATAAATAAACATGCATGTTCATCTCAGATCAAGAGAGCCAGTGTGGTGCAGTGGTTAAGAGCATGGGACTGGGACTCGGACGACATGGGTTCTAGTCCCCGCTCAGCCATGGAGCCAACTGGGTGACTTTGGGCCAGTCACAGACTCTCAGCCCAACCTACCTCACAGGGTTGTTGTTGTGGGGATAAGATGGAGGAGGAGAATGGTGTAAGCTGCCTTGAGCCCTTTGTAGGAAAAAGGCAGGATATAAATCGATAAATAAATAAATAAATAAATAAATAAATAAATAAATAACATTACACACATCTTCATCTATTACTTCATCTTTTACTATTACTGTGCTACTTCATCTGTGTTACTACTATTACTGTGTTATTAACACAGGTGTTACTTGTTCAGCCTGTGCAGTACGGAAATTTCAGGGGCTGAGTTATAGATACAGATACAGATATGACATCTGAGTGAGTGTGACACAGTGCTTAGAGTGATGGCTGAGGATCTGCAAGCTCCAGGTTCTAGTTCCCACTCAGCCTTGACGCTCACTGGGTCAGTCACTCACTCTCAGCACAACCTATCTCACGGGGTGGTTGTTGTTGTGAGGATAAAACAGAGCTATGTAATCTGCGTTGGGTTCCTCATAAGGGGAAAAATGCTGGGATGTAAATGCAATGCAATCATCATCATCATGGCTTGTATTGTTTCTTGTCTTCTGGGATTTTAGGAGTAGATTCCACCATTATATATTTACAACAATCCTGTCAAGTAGCTTATATTGAGAGCTATTGGAATATAAAACAAAGGAGGCAGACCATCGGTCTATCTAGCACACGGAGGGTGTTTCCAAGTGAGATTTTTTCCATGCTCATCACCTGCTCATTTATAGAATTTTTATGGAGGATTCAGATGTTGCCTTTCTGCATTTCTATACCACCCATCTTTTTCCACAGCTTCCCTATTATTTCCTAAATTCTAAGCTGCCTAGGAAGACCTCAGCAATTATAGGCAGCCTATAAATACATGTATAAATAAATAAATAAATAAAATAACTGACTCATGCATGACAGTCTGATATCAACGCTGCCCGGTACAGATGGAAATCTCATGTCATTGCCCTTTATCTCAACCACAGTGTTTTTCCATGCAATCTGTTCTCAAAACCATCTGCAAGTCATTGGTACACGAAAGAACAAGTGTCAGACATATTTAAAGCCCAAGTTTGAAGGGTGAAAGGAACTTCTTGTCTGAACCAATGAGAGTTTAGGCTTCAAGAAAAGTTTGTTTCCAAAATAGGAGGTTGGAATAATCTTGAAGATGAACTGGAAAAAGGCCAGAACAGGAGAGCTGAAAATAATATCAGAAACAAGATGGAAATAGAGCCAAGTCAGCTGAGCAATTTAACACGGTTGCAAATATGAAAGAGACCCTGCTTTCTAATTCCTCAGCTTTGCTTGGCTCTGCTTCCAGGTTTGCCTTCTCTTTCTTCCCTCTTTTCCTATCAACTTTTCTCTCCAATGCTCCTGCTGTCCTTTCCTATTTTCAATAGTCTCCCTCTTTTGAAAATGCAATGTTTCTCCAAAATTAAAAAATGGCCAGGTTAAGTATGCTTGTTTTAGTTTGTTCTCATTAAAAAGCTGTAGCTGTTATTCATTTCAGATCTGATATGAGAAATTTCATGTCTAAGCCAGATGAAAAGATTTGGAAAAGACATGGATCGTATATCTATAATGTTTCACTTTGAGGGTGCAACAACATTTGTATAAAGCAGACATTTTGTTATTGTATTATAATGCACTAAGGGTTCCATCCTATACATGTTTAGGCAGAAAAATTCCCAGCATTCCCTATCCAGCCATGTGCCTTAAATTATACTCTATTTGCTTAGGACAGAGCTGCACAAATTTGGAGACTCAAATCAAGCCCTCCTTTATACAAATTTGGCCCTTCAGGGTCCCGTCCCCCCACCCCCCCCACCACCAATGGCTAAACCCCTTTTCTTGGGCACCATTAATTTTTTCTCTCTATTCTATAGGCTGAAATGCATCTCTACTTGATGACTCCAAACCTGTTCAAACATAGGGCAGTGGTCGCTTTGAACACTGTTCAGAGAACAAAAGCTGCAACACTGAAGTAACAAGATCAGTTATAAATGCAATTTCATAAAATAAAAACCCTACCCTTTATTTCAAAGAACAATGTTGGGAAAAGTTGGACATTTTAAGAAAAACAATTGCTTCAAGTTACCGAATGCCATCCTTTTAAATTATAGCATTATTGGCTGCCTGACCCTTATAAATGCCCTTTGATGGAACTGTAGGATGAAAAGAATTGTTTAATCACAGATCCTCATAAACAGTTTGGGCACGGCTAATCTTATGGTTTTAAATGGAAGTGCTAGTTTTCAGTATTTGATTTCCGCTTGTGGATTACATGTACGACCACAAATTCTTTATGAGCATTATGTGATTTTCCTGGGCAGTATAAGCAGTTTATTGTCACTAATCCTTTGCAGAAGTCAGCATGTACATTTTTTCCCTACAGGAAGGTTATGTGAACATTTCACCCCTCTTTTAACAGACTGGTGTTATAGTTGCTGCAGTAATAACATAACGAACAGTAGGAGACTATGACCATTTGACAAAATAGTTTGAGGAAGTGGCTTATGGGAAACACTATTAGCTTTGCATACAGGCTTTGAGTAAAATATAGCTCTGTGTGGGACACAGAGAATGCCTGAAATAGGAATTGGTGAACTGGATGTGAATTGGCTCACATTTTAACTAGAGCAGGCCAGCACAACTAGTGACCAGGTCAACCAAACACAGCTGACTGCCCATGCATTGCGGGCTGTCCGATGCTCGATAATTACTATTTTTGCAGGTTTTGGCAGGCTTCCAGACATGGTGAATGTGCCGCATTACATTCAATGGGTCACAAGCCATGTGATCCTGACTTAAATATTGTCATAAATATCAAGTTGCCACATATCCACAGACGTTTTGTTGCAGGCAGCAAAAATGAGGTTTATCAAAGAGCATACGGAAACTCAGCAAGGCTCATCTAGTCCAATATTCTGTTCATGCAGCGGCCAACTGGCTTCCTGTGGGAAACCCACAGCCAGGATGAGTGCAACAGCACCCTTCCGCCCAGGTTCCCCAGTCACCAATGTATACTGACATACAGATTGTGACAGTGGAAGTATCTAGCCATGGAAAACCTTATTCTCCATGACTTTGTCCAATCCCCAGTTAAAACTGTCCAAACCGATGGCTATCATGGCATCCCCTGGAAGTGGATTCCATAGTTTCACTATGTGATATGTGAAGAAGCGCTTCCTTTTGCTGTCTGGCATCTCCCAGCAATCAGATTCAGGTTCTAGTATGAGAGAGGGAGAAAAAGCTCTTTCTGTCCTCTTTCTCCACACCACTCATACTTGGATACCCGCCACCATGTCCTTCCCAGCTAAGCTAAACAATCCCAGATGTTGCAGTCCTTCCTCAAAGGGATGCGTTGCAGCCCCTTGAACATTTTAGTTTACTTTTTCTGCACTTTTTCCAATGCTACTATATTCCCTTTTAGGTGCAATGATCAGAACTGTACATGGTATTTCAAGTGCAGACACACAATAAATTTGTGTAAGGGGAGTATGATCACTGTTTTAATCTCAATTCCTTTTCTAATTATGCCTAAAATAGAGTTGGCCTTTTCCGCAGCAGGTGTACTCTGGGTTGATACTTTCACAGAACTATCCTTCACAATTCCTTTATGCCTCTCAACGTTTATGCCCACTCCCTACTCTCCAGTGACAGCACAGAAGCAGCTTGCAGCTGCTTTACTTAATTTCACTAGTACTACACATATCTGTTTTTTTCAGATATTTAAGAATAAGTGGAATATCTTATAACTGTCTTTTCATTTTTTGAATGAGCCAAGGTTTAGCATCTGCCCCCCACCCCAATTTTAGGAAGGACCAAAGTAGTTGTTCATGTTCAGTTTTTCATCTTTATTTTTTAATTTTTGTCTGCTAGAAACTGTCCCCTAATAATCAGTTAACTAAAATGTAAATGGATTAATTTAATTGTTAGACTAATTTTTTCCTAGTAAAACATATATAAATTGACATATAATTTCAGAGTTCTAAGAAATTCTTTTCCTCTTTCCACACATCTTTACCATGTTCATAATCTCAAGTCAAGGCAACAAAAGTAAACCTAGTTCAGACCTCATGGCCAGCCATTGTTCACCTACTGAACACCTTGTCCTCTCCCTTTGTGTGTTCTGATTCTTTTTCTTGCTTCCTAGTCTCTGATAAC